GTTACGAGCCGCTGTGTTGATGACAGCACCGTTGGCAGGCTTAGGCTGCATGTTACAAGGTTAGCAGATGCTTTATTACAGTGTAAATCTTAGAACCTGATTAAGAAATATGCACTGAGGTGTGTGGTCAACAGGCCTTGGTAGTGTAATTTGAAGAAATTGGTTGACTTTGGGTCATAGCTACAAGCCATACGGCACAATGAATGAGTGTGCGTAAGGAAGAGGCTTTTATTTTGTAGGTTCCCTTTAGTCTTATTTTGAAAGTCTATCATGGATGTGTGTCAAGGGAAGGGTCATGCCCAGCAGTGATATAGAATCCATTTCCAAATATGAAATCACTGGTTTTCCATGTTATTGGGTGAATAGATGCTGTATTAGAGTGTAAATGGGAGACTTTTATTGCGAAATTTGCTCTGGGGTATGTTTTGAAAAGGTCCCTAGAGTCTAATAGAAACAAGCTGGTAGAGTTTGGGTCATAATGCTGAGCCATTTGCATCAATTAATAGGCAAGTATAATATAGAGGCTTTTATTGTGTAGGGTCACTGGAGTCTTATTTTGAAAGTCTAGCAGGGTTGTGTGTTGAGAAAAGGGTCAGACCAAGCAGTGATACTTGATGACTTTCCAATCGTTAAATCACTCTTTTCCCTTGTTATTAGGGCAGTAGATAAAGTGGCAATGGGAGGCTTTTATTTTGAAATTTTCCATGGGGTGTGTTTTGAAAACCCCCTAGAGTCTCATTTTTAAAAAAGTGGTTGAGTTTGGGTCATAATGTTGAGCCATATGCTGGGAAAAAAATATGAGTTTAATTTAGGGGCTTTTATTTTGAAGGGTCCCCGGAGTCTTATTTTGAAAGTCTATCAGGGTTGCGTGTGAAGGGAAGGGTCATGGTCAGTAGTCATATTGTATCCACTTCCTAATGTTAAATCAGTGTTGTCTCCCTCCATTAGATTAAAATGTGCTGTTTAAAGTGGCAGAGGTAAAATCTCTTTGAACCACGGTTACCTTGACAACGCTTAACGAGCCTGTCAGTGAGAGAGAGAAACGCGCTTCACTTTCGTTCCTTTCCTCTCAGGCTTTTTTGAATGGGATTATCAGCTCCGAACAAAAGACTGCTGAAGACAAACCGTAAATGGTATCTAAAAAATTCTTTCAGTCTAAGCGACAGCTATCCTTTGTCTCCAATTGGGGTAACTTTCATGGCTGTAGCTCATTCTCAGCCTTAATGGGAAGGAGAAATATAAAGGTTTATAAATCCTGCTGGTCTCATTAAATAACATGCAGCAACATGGTAGAGCAGAACGCTCAAAAGCAAAACTTTCCCTGCGAACAAACGAGTGGTGAGCTAAAACCGTAAAAGGTATTCAAAAAATTATTTCACCGTTGGCGTCAGCCATCCTTCGGCTTCGACTGTGCCAACTTTCATGTTTCTACTAAAAACGATTTGGCCACGGTGACGATGTAAAAATGTGCATTTTCTGAGTTTGAGGATTTTTCTCAGAATCAGCGTTTTCCTATGCCCGAACAAGTCAGCTAAAAAGCTAAACCATAAATGATATTGAAGAAATTCCTTCAATGTGAGTGCTAGAAGGTTCTGAAGTTGTTGTATATCAAGTTTCATGTTAGTAAATCAAATAGTTAATAAATGGGAGCGATACGAAATATGTATCGTTTTGGATTTTGTCTGTGATTTTTGGAAAATCTCTTATTGGATTTCTATTGGGGAAGTGTGGACTTCTTCATGGTCTGGGCCAAACTGTCGGAAAACCGTAAATGCCACACAAATGAGGGTTATATTTCCTGAATTCTGACAAAAATCCCTACGTTTTGATGTATAATTTATTTCAATTGAGATAAAAATGAGGGACTGAGAAGAATTTGTTCGGAAAAACCAGAACAGCTCAAAAGCTAGAGCATGCACTCTAGCAGTTGAAGAATTCCGTCCATAGACTTCCATTATAAATCTGAAAATCTTAAAAATTTCTTTTAAAGTTTGAAGCTTCACTGAAGCAAAACTGTAAAAGTTAGCAGAAAGCCGAGTTAAACAGTAATAGCAGAAAGATACGGAAACATTTTAAAAGTTGAATGGTGTTTCTAGCTGAAAGTATGCTGAAGTAGTTAAAGGTCAAAGATGATGAAGGTTTAGCTGAATTTTGCTGAAATCTAAGAATTCTACATGCATTTCAATGGGACAAAAAAAACGCAGAAAAAGCTGAATAACGCGAAAACTACCAAAAATATCTTTACCAAAAGACATAGCAGAATTCAACTGAACGAGCTGAACGTTTTGATACCAAAATTGTTGAAATCGGTTGAAAACTGCGGGACTAGTTAGAGTCAGAAAAATTTAAAGTGAACAACAATAAGTGGGAATGCATAAGCATTCCCACTTGATTAAGCAAGAAGCCCAGTTAAGACAACATAATCCTTTACTCTATAACCATAGCTACGCCACATTTACATCATCAGCAGTGAATTGGCAGATAAAATAGTGCATAAAGCATATAAATAAAATATATTACACTCACCAGAGATGCTGATTATTCATAAACCAATATATCCTTCTGTCTTTGTGCAGGAAGTCTTAGTATCTCCATTTATTATCACCCATTGAGGTCAGAAAACTTTTAACCAAAGCGAATCTAAAATCAGATTGTTAACTTGCATGGTAGCTTAACTATGGAAGCATTTTGCTCTAACTGACCAATCAGAGGACAGAAAATGCCGACATAGGGATTGGCACTCTAGCTGGCCCTGTTTGGAAATCTGAAATTGGATTGGTTGAAAAAACGTTCCTCACTAGTATTGTTATTCTGAAAGGCCCTGGGCAGATTTGATTGACATAGCAACACACAGAGGCTGAAATCTGATTTGACAAAAAAATATAGAGACCATATAATGGAAGCAGTGCAGCCAAAAGAAACGCTACAAAATCAATGGAATGGATTGTTTGGAATAAATTAATATCACTGGAAAGAAGAAACTTAAAGTTTAGGTTATGAATTCAGGTTAGTGTTTCTGATTGTTTTTAGGCCAGCAGTGAAGGCCTTGAAGGCCCTCACAGCCCACCACTGCAGGTGATTGCTTCAGTGGTCGATATCTGGTCTGGTAAATAAACCAAACTCTGTCCCTTAACAGCATTTTCCTATATGGGGCTCCACAGGCATCTGTATTGCTCTCTCTTCTCTTGTTTCTGTGGTTGAGACCATTTAAGGTCAGATTTTTTTTTACAATTATAGAATTTTTTAGTTTTGCTCAGCATCCTTTTATTTAATGTATATTTTTAAACTCTTTTTGTAGCTTTGTTGTAGATTTTTATGATTTGATGGAAAAAAGCTTTTTAAAAATTATTATCTTTTGCGATTTACACACAGAAATAGAGATCTCTGAAAAACGTGTTCCTGGTTTTGATATTTGTATATACCTTTTTTAGTAAAATGTACTTCTTTGGTTCCTTTCGCTATTTTCCAATATAAATTTATAATATTTATGTAATATATTATATTGTAATATACAGAGTTCAAGAACATTTTCATAAAAAAAAAAAACAGTGCTGTTTAAGCTCAAGAAGAGTTTAGAAGACAATATTTGGAGAGCAGCCCACATTTTAATTCAGAAATAAGTTTTAATTAGCATGAATTGCCATACATTTGCAGGGTTTATATGATCACCTTATCATCTATTGCCCATATCCATTTGAGCTTGTAGGGTTACACAGGGCACTGAGTGCTGTGTTGTCTAGGGAAACAATAAGACATACAGAATTAGAAAAACATTCACACACTAATTTTCAAGGGCAATTTAGAGAAGTCGGTTAACCTAACAGTCATATTTTTTGACTGGTGGAGTACCCTGAGAGATACGGCACATGCAAGAGGAGAACCTTCAACCCAGAACATTAAAGTTCTACTGAACTTGCAACCCTATCATCTAAATGATTTCTTATAAGGTAGAATAAGAAAAAAAAATCTTTGCAGTTGTATTTTTTTTTTTACAGAGCTGTAATTCGTTTAGTTTTTCATAATTAGTATAATTTATAACCGTACATTTTTACTTCTGCACTCAATTCTTAGGTTTAACAAATGCTTGTATATTATATACTTATATATAGTATTTTCATTCCATCCTATAAGAAGAAATTTTATAATAAAACATTAACTACAGATTATTCCCATGGTTACCATGCAAGCTTCTGACTGGAACTGAATGTACAGTTTCATCCATCCCTCAATGAGCTTTTATGTAAACGCTGTTGGTGGTCCATCATTAAAACTTTCATTTCAGTTTGCACTTGTTGAAAGTATGCCGGATCATGTTGTTTATTTTTATCCATTGAAAAGCACTGAAAAGCATATAAATCCTGTCGAAACTGTGTTTGGCTTTGTGTTATGTAACACTCTTAATATTCAAATGAAAAGACAAAGGGGGCCGAAGGCAGGCCACAGCTAGAGAATAGGCCAGTTTGTGAAGCATTTCCTATTCGTTAATGAGGAGTTTCACGGCCGCTTGCCAAGACAGCAGGACCAATAGTGAAGGCCTGTTTGAACAGCGAAGGGGAGGCGTCGAGGGAGAGTGGCTGACTGTGGGGACACTGTCACTGAGGGGACCCCTAAACTCCATCGTCCCCCTCCTACCTGTTCTACAAAGTGCAGGGGCCGGCGCCTGAGATCGACTGTAACTTCCACCAGGGGCTTTAATGAGGCTCTAGCTGCTGTGGTGGAAGTCGGATGGGCTTGTGTCACTCTCAGACCACTCTGTGATCAGCTGACTCACAGAGCAAACAGGGGGGTCACTGAAATATTAAAGATGTCCAAAAACACTAATCAAGAAGAGAAAGAGGAAAAGGAAGAGGATGTGGAGGAAGATAAAATTCCTCCTCTTCCAGCTCCTCCTGAGGTCAACGGAAAGAGTCCAGCTGAGGACGAGAAGCCTGCATCCAAACCCCTGCCCAGCAGCAATCAGTGCCAGCCTGTGAACCGCAGTATTTTTCTGTCTTCTGCAGTCTCGCCGGCAGCTGAGAGGATCCGTTACATATTAGAGGATGATGATGGCCCGGCTCCCCCACAGCTCTTCACTGAGCTGGATGAGCTGCTGTCGGTTGATGGACAAGAGATGGAGTGGAAGGAGACAGCCAGGTAAGAACATCTGTCCCAGTGTTAGGGATCCTTTTCAAAGTCTAGAATCTGTCTCTACTGAGTTGACATTTAGATGGTCAAAGGTCACCCTTTAGATGATGTCATAAACACGTTTGACATAAAATAAAGAACATGTCATTCTTTTTGTGGCTTTTTGGATTATTGTCATAAAACATAGATTGGATAATTGTTCATGCATCATTAGCACTGGATGGGTGAAGCTATCTCAGGGGGAAACAGGATCCTTGGGTTGCTGTTTGAGGAACCAAATGAATCCATTTATTATTCTAACCTCTGACCAAGTGCCCTCTGGATAAACGTTTCACATTCCCTGTAGCTGAGTGATTAAAAATAACTTTATTGTAAATTATATGCTGTAGTTATTATCAATGAATCTTTTTTGTACTTTTCAAAATTGGATTATTCTAAAGACCTAATCATTGCTAACTTGTCATATTAAAAACATTATATAATATTACATAATGACACAATGAGGGACTTATAACTGAAAAATGCAGCTAAAAAAATTGGTGGAAAATGCTACATACATCTGACTTCAACCAGAAAATATGAAGTAAGTTTAAAAATAAACCCATGGATGTAATTTTTTTTAATGGGTTTTTGGTCTGTCTCCTGTTTTCTCAACTCCATCAATTACACCAGATCGTTGCACCTATTGGCCTCGGTTCCTCAGGGGGTTTATTCCTGTTTAATGATCTGTTTGAAGGTTTTTCTTTCTTTACACTTTTCCCGCATACTTGCCAAGCAAGACAAATTGCTCCAGAGTTAAAAAAGGATAGATTTGTTGGGAATTTAAACAACAGAGACCAACAGAATTGAAATGAACTGAATCCAACTGTGCTATTAAAATCACCATAAAGGAAACAACGCTTTTCCCAGGGGTGTGTGGGGGAGGGAGGGTAATTCTAGTCACACTTTAACTTAGGTTTTCCATTTTTAATTTGCACTTTGTCCCGCTGAGGATGTTAAAGGATTACATCAAGTAATGTAGAAAACCCTTTTTATTATAAATAATTTTATGTCACATTTCAAGGAATTAAAATTCGATTATTGAATTTAAGGCAGAAATGGTACAGTTATAAATCAATTGTCAAGTATATGCTAATAAAACTACTAAAAAGTAAAAATGTATAGATTTTGACTGTTTTATGGTAAACTGGGTTAACTTATGCTGTTAATGAGATAAAAAGATTGATAACTTGGTATATAAAAATTACATTAATGTGATTTAAACTGCTTTATATACCGAGTAGTTCAAGCATCATACAATAAAAACTTAGTATTCTACAAACACATAAAGAAACAAATATATGTTGCAATGTAGACCAAAGATGTCCAACCAATAAGAGCTCAAAGTAGTGTTTGATTGTGCCATCTGGTTGCCAAGAGCAAGTTTAGCAGCCAGAGGCCAAATAAAAGTCTTTGAACTAGTTCAGTCTGCCATCTATCAGAGGGACAAGGGAGCAAAGAAAGAGATTTAAAAACCAAAGCACTAATGAATTGAAACACAGACAATGAAAAAATAAAACAAACAAACAATAGATCTGTCTGACAGCTGTGGATTAATGGCTCCAATTTGGGTTTAAACTTGAACATGATGAAAACTAAAAGTTCTAAAGGGGAAAAGATTTAGATACCACTTAAAGTAAGAAATAACCTTATTTTTTAGTATACATGTACAAATCGTATACAAACTAGAATAAATGTTTATTTATCGAGGCACAAAGATCTATTTAGAAACTGTCTGATTTACAAGAACAAATAATGTAATTTTTTAACATTTTTAGCAAAGTTGCACAGACCGCGAATTTATCCGACAGCAATAACTAAAGTCACCACATCTAGGTTGAATTTCTCCACAACTTAACCAGGTAGATAAAAAAAAACAAGCTTTTGTCTTCATGATGGAAGTTTAGGTTATTTCTCTTCCTTTTTATTCTCCAATCTCAATAACCTAGCAATGAAGTAAATGCTTTCAAGTTTATTGCATCTGTGAAGTCCTCTTTAAACTCTTCCATTCTACCATGACCTGCGCAGATAATATCTAGATACTAGATTTGAATAATATCTAGAAGTATTAACCATCCACATCTTGCATTTAAGAAAAATCTTTAATTATGACTTCAATCCAGTGGGAATTCACCTTGACCAATTTTGATATGCATGCTTTTCCAGTTGATTTGATTCCCTTTTTCCGACCTTGTTCTTCCTTCCAGGTGGATAAAGTTTGAGGAAAAAGTAGAAAAAGGGGGAGAGCGCTGGAGTAAACCCCATGTGGCGACCTTGTCCTTACACAGCCTGTTTGAGCTGCGTACATGCATAGAGAAAGGCACAATCATGCTGGACATGGAGGCTTCCACTCTGTCTCAGGTTGTTGGTAAGAGAAATCTCACCTATTTAATCTAGTTTAAATCAGTAATGATGCAAATACAGCAGTTTTGTAGGACTATCATAGTTGGTCATTCTTCGAATCGTGTAACTCTCTGCAGAAAAAAATATTTTTCTTTATAAAACTGCAACTACTCTTATTTCCAAAGTTAAATGTGTTGCCAACATAATTTGAGGGGAGTAACTACAGCAGTAACCTTTAGTGTTAAACTATGTGAAACTACACCCTATAATGTGCTTTTTTTAATCCTGTATTACATTTTTTAACCACATATTTCTTATGTTTTTACTGACTTTAGCATTAATTCAATTTTTTCTTTAATTTTTAATTCTTGTTCTTATAATTTTAACTTTGCACCCTTTTAAGATTTACCAGTTGTTAAATTTTACGTGTTGATTTGTTGAATTCGGTGAACAGCTTATAAAAAAGGCTTTTCAAATAAACTTTACTTTAAATTAAGGAACTGAAATGGGATATTAAGCGGGTGCCTACAGGATAATCTAGTGGGTGTTTTCCATACAACTTAGAGCAGCATCTGTCTGAATAGCTAACTGTGGAATAATTATTTGCTTATTACAAGTTATATATCAATAGCGGTAAGTATGAACTTGCATGACACCCACAAAGTCCATAAAGGTGGAAACAGAGTATTTATAGGGTACCTTTGGGGTTCATTCACAACTCTAGTATTTCAAAAACAAGAACACAAGATTTGCAAAGGATGAAAACACATGGATCAGCATATCAAAATATATTTTAAATCTGAAGATAGGATAAAATCTTCACAACAGTTAGAATACAGATGCTGCAGACGCCAAAAGTTGTTTGAAATTTTCAAACCAGACATTTCTGAGTAGGTAAGTAAAACAACTGCTTTCTGTCTTTGTTCCCCAGCTATTGTCCCTCTTATATCCCTCTTTCCTGAAGCTGCACTGTAAAGGCTGATAAAGGTCAGCATGTTCCTGACTGGGAAATGAGACCATGCATATGTGTACTTGTGGGTTCTTATGTGCTCGTGTACTCATGACACATCATCAACCTCAGCCCTACTGTAGTACTGTCGCAATTCGCAAAAACAGCAGACAGAGAACAGACAAAGTCCCCGGATGTTGTTCTCGCCCCTTCCTCTTTATTGAGTATACATCAAAGCAGACTTGTCCATTTTTTAGATTGACAGCTGTCCCAGCATGCACAGCAGCAGCAGCAGCTTTCAATGGAGCGCTACATTGAAAGTTAAAAGTTCTCTGTTCTGTAGCTGTTTATCAATAAAAGTATGTTTTAAAATCATTTGAGGCAAGAATATTATACTTTAAAGTGTCATTATATAGTCAATTTACCGATTTAATGCATAATAAAAATTTTTTTTGCCGAAGTTGAGAGGACCGCGGCAACCAGCGGAGCTTCGAGGGTAATGGCAGCCAGGGCTAACCGCAGCCCGTCTGCAGCAGCCCTCTCTCAGCGTAGCCATGTGTGAAGTACCGCTGGCTCTCATGGCGATTTTTTTGTTTTATTTGGCAAAATGTTCATTTGATTTTTGTTTATCTGACTGTGTTAATTATTATTCCCCCACTAAATGAAAAAAGTAATAATTTATTATTGTATAGAGACGTCACATGCCCTGCTCGTTTAGAGCGTACTCGTGACGTCACCACGTCACGGGTAAGCTTCTGTTCCGATTGATCCATACTTATGCTGCGTGCTCCCATTCTCCTCGAGTCCAGAATGTCCTGTGTTCTTCTCAAGAACATACTTGACATACTTGCGTTCTAGTGAATTGAGAAAAGGCCCATAACTATCTGCTTGATTCTCTCTGATGTCTTATGTGCCTGCAGTGGGTTATAAGGATCCAGTTCCTGAGTTAATGAACATCACACAACTCTGAGGTGTCTTTTGCGGTTCTTTTGTTTGACGATTGTTTGACTTGCACTGAGGTCATGAACTTTGTATTCCAACTCTCGTCTCATAAAGTAGTTCCCAAATGGTCAAACAGAAACTTCCCTAATTAAAGAGCAGTGCTTGGTTTCAAGTTGCATTAAGAGGATTTTGTCTGTGCCTACCAGAGTAGTACCACCAGCTTTTCATTTTAGTCTGGATGAAGGCACAGGAGGAAGAGGTCCTTCTAGGACTGATTAATGTGACGTAATTGCCTGCCTCAGACTTTGCAAGCCAAGAGGAACCAGGTCTCTTCGCTTTTCGGTGGATTCACTGATGGGTCATTAGCTGCACTACCCGTCCACAGGAAGAAAATTTCCCCGAAGCTGGTCTCTTTCAGCATTCAGGCTTTTGACTTTTTATAAATCAGACCTTTGGCTTGGAACCATTCAAGGGGTCTCTTAATTGGCGAAATTACACTGATAGAGTTACTAATTAAGCCTTTGGCAATATCAAGAACAGATAACAGTAATTTAAACAATTTTGGGGGAAAGTACATTTCAGGGGATATATTAAAATCACTTTTGTTTTATGCCCCTCAAAATCAACAGAAAAAACTAAAGAACATAATACATCATGAAAGTCTAAAAAATATTACGTACTTTGGAGATATCTATCACAAGATAAGTAAATTTATTGTGGTACTTAAAGGGTACAGCTTGCAGACAAGGTACTTGCATAGCTATGGAAACTTACATAGATACCTGTGTTAGTAGTTGAAGAGTACTTGGTATGCCTCTAGGGGACAATCTACAAGTAACCTATATAGGGCTTTTCTATCAAAGCTGCTTGGAACCCATACTGTATTTTTGAATGGTTGCTCCTGTTTTGACCAGAGCGGGTTCTCCGGTTCGCATCTGACACTGCTGAATAGCCAGCTGCCAGTGTGGCTAAATCCAAACTTCATCAGGTCTCCTTCACATGATTAACAGAGCAATCATATTAATAAGTCTTCACATTTGGGTTGCATTAGCATCTGGTCAGGATCAAGTCAACCTTGGTTTCTGCACCTACCATTCATAGTATAGGTAGCTGTCTGTCCGTTAACCAGCATCATTATTTACTTTACTGCCTGGCCTGGAGAGCTTTGATGCACCTTTAAAGCATAGAAGTATAGAGCTGCAAACAGAAATACCATGCAGAGCAACAAAGTCCACCATCGAGCTATTCTATTCTCATGTTATTCTGGTGGGCTTCCTGTTCCTCTACTTTTTCTCTGGTGGATTGATAAACACGTCTGGATCACACCAGCTGGCATTGCTTCTGTGTTCTGTAGCACCCACTGGTGATGATGAAGGACTCGGTTCTACAATTGGTCGACAACAGCTGTTGTAACCAAGCACCCATGTTCATGGGCCCCGCACTGGTTCAAGAAAGAGGGTTCTGCTGGTGGAAAAAAGGCAATAATGGCTTCACAGTGTGCTTACAGAGTTACTAACAGAAAGCTTAACAGAAAGGAGTACTGACACCATTCTTGTTGAGTACCTATGGAGCATAGCTATGGTTAACTGATAGGGTACATATTGAGTATCTATAGGGGTAGATATATTGTATAGTGCTACTTTTACCTAGTAGATACCTATGGAGTGTCTACTAGCATAGTTATTGAGTACCCATATGGTACTTAAGGAGTAACATAAGGATGTATGTGGAGTACTTCATCCTATTCATTAGTAGTGTTAAAAAAGTTTATAAAATGTTAATCTTGAATTTCAATTTTATGTTAAAGGACAACATTTTTTTTTGTCAAAATGAAAATCCTTTTGTTTTCTCCAGTTGAAATATTTATATCAGTTGGGCTGTGTAACTATATTCAGAGTTAATAATGAATAAAGAATAGTGATTTGTATATTCATTGTCATAAAATGATAAAGACATTCAACTGATCTTTTTTTTTTTTAAACATCCAACATTTCTAACAATGTTTGATTATATAAATGAAAAGATAAAAAGGTAACCTTATGCAGAATTATCTCTGTACATGCAATGTAAATATTCTAATATTTTAGTAGTAGTATAGTATTTTAATATTAGTATATATATATATATATATATATATATATATATATATATATATATATATATATATATATATATAAAGAAAGTCATCAGGTTACACTTTTAAGGTATTACCATTGATGCCATGTGGAAACTGAAAGTATTCTTGTAGGTATGTTTGTTTTTACATGATAAGTAACCAATGAGTACCTTTCAAGTAATTGTCTGTTTTGAGTGCTGATGGCAATGCTTACGCATAGATTGACGATTTCACTACCCCTCCAAAATTAAACAATAGGAATATTTTCTGTTAACTTATCTCAACAAAATATAACTTTAGACATGATGCAACAATTGTTTCCTTACAGAGATGATCACTGACAACCAGATAGAGATCGGCCAGCTGAAAGCAGACCTTAAGGACAAGGTGATGTACACGTTGCTACGGAAACACCGCCACCAGACTAAGAAGTCCAACCTCCGCTCCCTGGCTGACATTGGGAAAACGGTCTCCAGTGCAAGTAGGCTGTTTTCCAACCAGGACAACGGTAACAATGGTGCCAGTTTGGTCTTCAGTCTTTTCAACTTTTTAATCGAGAAAATCAAAAAAAGGAAAGTCATGATCCGACCTGTAAAATCCATATTTCAGTTGCAAGTACAGTGAGTTTTGAGGGCTGAATTGCAAGCAGCAGTTCTTTGTGCTTATTCGCTGCTGTGAAGAAACAAATTTGGCTGAAACATTGATCCAGACAATACAGGAAAACATTATTTACTCTTTCAAACACTTTGTCACTTTATGTTGCATTTTGAATCAACTAACTCTGAAGACCAATGTAGGGCAATGTTTAAAGAACATCAAGTCCTGCTCCCTTATACTTTTCTTTTTAGATATTCAAACTCATTTAAATATCAGTTCAAGATAACCTATATAAACCCAAACACAGTTTTCTTTAAAAAACAAACAAACAGCTTGGCCTGTAGAATCCGGTAATCAACTAAAAATACCCTCACTAACTACAGAAATAGGCTGAAAGATAGCAAAAAAAATATCCCAACATGGCAAAATCTGATATGAGTCAAAGTTATTAACATCTAACACACTGGAAATACAATCAGTTCTGTGATATTCAATGGACTGACTGGACAGATGGGGAATTTTTCTGATTGTTTTTTTGTTACATATCCTGTTCCACACATTTCAGAAAAAGAACAATATATCAATTGTAAAACATGGTAGTAGCAGTGTGATAGTGTGGGACTTTTTTGCTACTTGATTAAATTAATGAGATCTGCAGAATATATCCTGAATGTCCAGAAGAATTTCCAGCCATTATTTTATTGTCTTTAGCTTAATATAGCAGAACAACAGGACAAAGTAGGAAAATAATCAAAATGTACGTCCAGAACTTGATCACTAAAAAAATTAATAGAAAAGCCTTCCAAGGTTGCAGACCTCTGCTGAGGAGCAAATTATATCCCAAATTACCCCTATAGGTAAAACTTGCAGTTGATCCGGATCATCACAAAAATCCGATGGATTGTTTCTTAGCATGAGGGACACCTCTGATAAAAATTTGTATTAAAATCTGTCCATAACTTTTCAAACTCTCCTAAAAGCATAACCTCCTTGGTGGAGATGGCGAAGGATTAGCAGAGGTTTAGTCAAAATCTGTTCGTAAACTTGATACAGCTGCTGTGGCTTGACCCCTAAGAGGCTGTTCATGGTCATAAACCATGCAATTTAGCAATTCTGCAACATATGTGGAACCAGAATTCCTTGAAAAAGGTCTAAATGGCTTATATTGAGTATAAGAAGGGACCATAAGGACATTGTTACCTGGTATGTTATTTCTCTTAAACCCAAATTGGCTTAGATAGCTCTTTTCCTTTTTAAAATTATCTAATAAACTTGCTGAGCAGCATTTTGTATTTAGCTGGATTATTTTCCTCTGGAATTAAAAGGTGTTTGATGATGCAAACATTTGATTAAAATATAAAGCAAAATAGAAGAAAACTAAAAGGGGGCAGACACTTTTTCTGAGATTAAATTCACCAAACATGTTCAATTGACATTGTTTTTATCACCTGTCTAACAGCATGTTAAGCTTTACAAAAGAGTTTTGATGCATCAATGCCTTTGCTTTCACTGCAATAATATCTAACAGCAATGAGCAGAAGTGATGCAAGATTTTATTAATCTGCAGGAAGAAACCCCAAATAAAACATGACTAATTTGTTTCATTTTAAAGGGGGCCAATCCTAAAATATTATATAATTTACTTAAGTAATTGAAGGAAGAATATATTGAATTTTCAATATATGCTTCTGTGTACTATTGATTTAAAGCAACACTGTGCAGATTTAGAATGATTTTCTTAATGTGAGATGGATTAAATCATTTATTTTTTTGCTGGTTCAAAGTCATCTGCTATCAGATTCCATGAGGTAGAATTTTTTATTTTTCTGTAGTATAGTGTTGGCAATTATTTTCCTGGAAACCTGGAAATAATAGGTCTTTTTCTCTTAGTAGCTAAAAGCTACATTGTTTCTTTAGTAGGTAAAATTATTGCATCTATTACCATCTATCACAGATACCTTTTTTCCTCTTAACTCAGGAAATATTCTCTGCCTTCATTGCACAGACCCTACTGGTTTTATGGACATGTGCTTTAATTGTAAACATTGAGTAACTAGATGTTGACAACCTAATTAATCTGTGACCAGCCATGAGCCAGTGGAAAATGAAGTTATTTATTACTTCTTATCAGATTTAAGAAACATTTTATGATCAAAAGGAAAGGCTCCCACTTCATGTTAAAGCATGTCTGTTAACTGGATCATAGTAAAGATAAGGACCATCACTGATAAACATTAATTGGTTATAGCCCTTTTGAGGATAAAGTAGATCTTTAAGTAAAACAGAGTTGAAACCACTGTTTGTTTTCCTGTCTAACACCACCATTCCTCCTAACTCACTGTTTATCTGCACAATTTTTAATGCATGGATTAATTCCCTTTTCTGATCTGCTAACAGTCTTGATTTGTTTTATCTATCAAGTGTTCTTCATCTGTCCTTTCCACCTGTCTGCTTTTCTTCTTGCTTGCCTGGACTGGCTATGATAAACTGCTGCTGCTGCTAAAAAGCCCGCAGTCCTCTGGGGAACTCTGTGACCTGCCTTTCGGGTCACATCTCCATGGAGGACTTGCAGAACCAAAGGAGTACCAGTATGGACTGGCTTAGTAAGTTCCCCAGACCCAGTTATGACACACTGAACACTTGGTATCAAGGTGCCATTCGAGAAAGTTTCCTTGGACTCCTAAACGAGCCATAAAAATTCCATATTTAGTTTGAACTGGGGTTATGCAGAGGAGTTATGAGCAATAAGTGTCTTCGCTGCAGTCAGATAGCACTCATAGAGATCCGTCTGAATAAATATCATGTGGAGTCAAGTGAACAGTTATAGCCAGGGTTGCAATGTTTCATTAAAAGCACCTTACACAGCAGGCCTTGGTCCTACAGGGCTGACAACAACCATCATTCACAGTTAAACTTAACTTAAGGTATTAAGAAAATTATGTCAGTTAAAAACTGCTTAAAGAATAGAAATGAGAAATTTACTTTTTTAGTAATCAACAGTAAGAAATATAAAAACAAAAAATAAGAATTCGCTACATAAAGAAGTTATTCTAATTACTCAAGAATGAAATACAAAAAGGGCTGCACAGTGGTTAGCAATGCTGCCTTACAGACCCGGCCCGAGGACTTTCTGCAAGACCTCATGCGTGGGTTCTCTCCGGGTACTCTGGCTTCCTCCCACAGTCCAAAAAAATAACTGTTAGGTTAATTAGCTTCTCTAAATTCACCTTAGGTGTGAGTATGTGCATGAATGGTTGTTTGTCCTGTTGGTCTCTATGTTGCCCTGAGATAGACTGGCGACCTGTCCAGGGTGTACACCACCTCTAGCCCATTGACAGCTCTTCACCCCTTGTGACCCCAGCAGGGATAAGCGTGACGGAAAATGGATGGATGGAGGAAATACAAAAAAAGGAATATTTTAATATCACTGTGCAAAAAAATAGCATAGTGCTGCTTGACTGCAATATGTGGTAGGGTATTACATTTTAAGTATCAAGCTTTTATAGCGCGCATAGTGTTTACACAGTCATTTGAATGCTCCTTATCCTAGATAATAAATCTAAAAAATGGTGGAGACGCCACCTATTGACAAAGAAAGACATTTTTGAAAAAATTTACATTTATTAATTGCCATTAAGATCAATAATCTTTCTGTTTCTCATTCTGTGCTCAAATGACTGTGTTTTTCCCTTTGCAATATGAATTCAAATAAAAAAAACTCACGCTGAACTGTATCTGTGCCAAATTAATAGATGGTTTTAATTGTCTATTGACAACCATCAGTCAAAATGTTGCACTAGTTTTGTCGAGGGACAGCGCATAGTTTTGATGCTAATTTGTAGATGACATCATTAGCTATGTGTGTTTATACATAGTAGGATAAAAAAAAATGTTTTTCTTGTAGATGTTAGCTTTGTACATAATGGTAGGCTATGACTATAAACTAATTCATTTCAGCCTGGCTGGAGTGCATTTATTAATTATTTCTTGTTTAGTGCGAACTGGCACAACCCTGGGTATGCTGGGTTAAAATATATTTGGGGCCTGCTGAAGCCATTGATGGACCCTTGAATGCTTCATGCTCTGACTAACACCCAGCTTTTTTACTAACTGTTCAGAAGAACTTCACACAACTTCATTTGAAAAATAAAAACATCACTCTACAGATAAATTAAGTATTTCAGTCCTTATAGTCAATTTGTCTTGTTTAAAAACAATTTTCATGAATTCCATGAATTCATTCTGAAAAAAAAAAAAAAGAAAAAAAAAAATCAGATTTATACAAACTGACTGCATCATACTGACAGGCCTGGTCCTACCCACAATGCTGAGGGGGCAGATTTATGAAAAAGCATAGGTGGCTCCACTTATTCTACCGGCTGAAGTTTCCAGTCTAATGTGAGGTCACATCATGCTGTCAGATGTTTGAAGAGCTGTCGAGCTGAATCAGAAAGTCAGCAGAGCGTCAGTCACAGTCTTGAAGGAAGCACTTAGTGGACCAGCTTGATGTGAAAGTAGGACACTAAGACCACCGGATATTCTTAGCTGTGATCCTGAGTGGATGCTCTACAGCTGCTGCAGAAGCATGAATGCCTGAAGTTTAATAAACCATGAGAACGACATGCAGATGATGTTTGGATTTAAAATTCAATAACAAGGTTGATGTTTTTTTGGTATTAGTTTGACAGCAAGGTGAATTAAAAAAAGTTATTTAAGATCTGAAGGTTTGGAATGAAGGTTATTGCTGAATTACATTGGGTATTATGGAGTTTGGTTTCTATATTTTGACAAATAGGAGAATCAGTAACAGTAGTATGGTGTGCTAGTGAAGACTTTCAGATCCATTCTCTGTCTTATTTCTACAAGGTTGAGTTGTTCCCAATGGTGCTCCGCCTCAGCTGTCCTTTGGCATGAACAGGATTTTAATTTGTATTATCTTAAATTAGATGGTAATCTTTAGCAGCTTTAAATCTGACCTTCAGAAAAATAAAAACTGGAGTAGTTTAAAGTCTGAATATGATTCCTTTCAGTTGATTTTATCCACAGTTGTGGAGGGCTCCTTCCAGATCAGGGTTTATTTTCTGTTGGAAGTGAAAAAGTTTTTGTTCTCTTTTTCACAGGTAATTGTAAGTTGGAGGAGAAAATGGATGGACAGGGTGGAACCCTGTCTAAAGTTATGTAAAAACTGTTCGGTCTGCCGTAGAAAGAATAACTTAGCAAAAAAGCAAGGGTCTTGATTAACAGGTCAGTCTGAGGTCTGAATATTACAGATGCATGACTAGGGGGATGCTGAGACATGGTGAAGGACATGGAGAAAGACTGCTTCACCTCCACAGCAGAAGGAATCACATAGGGTTGTTAGGAAGTCTGATTGGGATGCTGTGTGGGTACTTCCCACTTGAAACCAAACCTGAGGTAGAAGTAGATGAACTGTATTTCCTGTCATGGTTGGAAATACTAATTGGCCAAATGATGTTATCATAAAAGGGGGTTTGGAAAGTATTGGTATTGGTATTTTAGAGTTCCAGACTTATTGCCAGAAGGTAAAGGTAGACTGAAAACCATAGATCACAGATTCTAATAGATAATGAAGACTGCAACAGGAACAGATGATGTTGATATAATCTTTAACCTATAGGATCCTCTGGATCTACATTTCTTTATTTCTATCTTTGAGCTTGCATGATAATGCAGCTGGGTGGTAGAGGTTCTGGTGATGCATGTGGAGGGAACTCTCTGGGCCACCGTCTTTTTCCTGGGTCTCCTCCTTCATCATTAGTTTCCCCTCTAAATGAAAACAAACAATTATGTTTAAACTATCTACTCCACCTCTACATCCTAACAGATAGTCCAACTACGCCCCACAAGAACCTGGCATCCAGCAGCATGAATGACATCTCTGACAAACCTGAGAGGGACCAGGTAAGTCTACATATGGTATTAATCCTCCATCATATTTCATAAAATGTTTTCTTTAACATGGTTTCCTTTTGCCAGATTTAGTACTATTTACCATTTCATCTTAGAAGTTTTAAATATAATTCTGCTCTAATGAAACTTTCCTTTACTGTTTAAAAATAAGAAACTTTTAAACGTAATCTCCACAGTAATCTAAGAGCCAAAGACAGAAAAGGCTGAGTTAGGTGTTGCTGTGATTATTATGGCATAAACCACAACACTGACTTCAGTTTCACTTTAGTTTTTGCACAAGCAACATGTTTGCACGTAAACTATGCATCCTATCAGGAACACCTCCGGTTGATTTTTATGCAGCGACAGCCATTTATGCTTTTAAACTGTATGATCAAGAGAGTCTTGCAACAAGATTTTGTGACATTATCAGACAATATAAGTGGAATTTTCCATGGTGAAACCTTAAAATACATGAACATTTAATCTGTGACTGTGTAAAGGAGGTAAGGGGGGCAAAACTGGCAGTTCGGCAAGGTAAAGTCCAACGTTCTGTGACCGGTTTAAACCTTGATTGATGTCTCTACTGTAAACTCCATCAAAGCTGAATTACAGCTTAAGAGAACGTCTTTCGTTTGCTTGTACACATTTATAGATAGTCCTGTTCAGCATTATTTAAAACTTTTTAATCATTGCTAACCAGTAGCTTTATTGTTGCTCAGAAAGGAACAACAAGACTAATTAATAAATAAAAAGGTAAAATACATAATTTTTTTTTTTTGCTGAAAAATAATAAAAAGACGAGAGTTGATTGATCAGTTATTTGATTCAAGATGCTTACCCTAAAATAAGGTGTCATTGAAATAAAACAGAAACAGGTAAAACTATCTTTAAAATATAAACAGTAAACATTTTTATTTAAACATGTTAATTCTTCTATATATATATATATATATATATATATATATATATATATATATATATATATATATATATATATATATATATATATATATATATATACATATAAATGCAGCAATACCCCAATTCTACTTTGGGGTATTGCTGCATTTTCTATTTTTATTTTATTTTTCAGGAAAAGCACTTTACCTGGATGCATTATTACTAAAAAAAGTAAAAGAAAAGGTTGCAAAGAGCTGACAGTGATTTCCTTCCACTTGCCTTTTATACTCTTTGGTATTTTCAACTTTAGAGTTCTATTGACATTTTCTGTGAGAAAAACTTGCTAAATATATCTCCAAACAGTGTCCGTTTGGTATTGTAAAGATATTTAGGTGAAAACATGGGAAGAAGCTGCTGAAATAATTATGCTTTCTTCAAATTTTGACAACTGGTTAAAAAACACACACTAACATAAATTTCTCTGGAAATATTTAGTTTCAAGACTGAAAATGAATTAAAAAAAGTGTCGAAAGTCCGATTATAACATGTTTGATAGAACTTCAAAAAGCCTGAAAAACCAATGCTCATGACCAAGACGTTCCAAAAATCCTCTAACAATTATGTAGATTAAGTAAAAAAAGGAGGGTTACTTTTGAATGATTCTATGTATTTAAAAAGAATCATCACTGTTTATTGTTGCAGTGGGTAGTACTTCTGCCTTGCACCAAGAAGGTTCCCGGTTCAATTCCCGGCCCCTTTCTTAAGAGTTGGAGTGGCAGACTAGTAGTTAGGGCATAATGCTTGGAATCCTGATGTTCTGAGTTCGAGCCCCACTCCCACAGACTGCCACTCTGGGTCTCTGAGCAAGACCTTAACCCCACACTGTGCCACACAATGGCACCCGACTGCTTCCCAAGGGGATGGGTTAAATGCAGAGGTAAATTTCTCCAATGTGAGATCAATAAAGTCCAATTATTAGTATTTCCTTGGACAAATATAAGCGATCCTTCCTGACTTTGGGAGATCCCTAATCACACAGGATTTTGCATTTCTGCCTACATTCCAACAGCACTGTGAAATGACTAACAAATATTGCTGCATAATTAACTAAAAAAAATAAATTTTCAGACAGATAACAGCTTATCAAGAAAGCCAATTTCCAGCTATACGTCAAAAGCAGAAAAGTGTTCTGGAAGAGGCAGAGGTGAGAATTGTCAATCATTTATTTAACATCTTAATGGAAATAAGATTTGTGGAAAGCAAAGCCAGATGGGATATAGTGACAAAATTGCAGGGTGTTAGTCTGATGTTACGTCATCCTCTACAGCCTAGAGGAAGTCAGTCCCTGGAAACAAAGGCTGCAGGTTGGAAACAGGAATAAAATGTCTAAAGTGCAACATTGCATCAGCTGACATGATTGTTTTAGGCTGTTGCAAAGTTTCCAAAACTTAACTCTGTCAATTGCGCAATTAGAGGTTTATGAGAAGAGTGTGAACTTTTAAATGAATGTTTGCTTGTAAGGTTAATACCGTATTTTCACGACTATAAGGCACACTTAAACGTCTTTTTTTATCCTCAAAATGTGCGGTGCGCCCTTTGGTGCGGTGCGCCCTATGTGTGTTGTAACTGCGACTTTTGAGACCACCTCATTGAGGAGATGATGAAAGAGTGGCCGAATGTAAGGAGACCAGGTGTTTTTTTTTTCCACTCATCACCATCGCTGTTAATATGTAACTCCATGCGTGCCCATCTCACAGCTGATGTGAAAAACATGGGGAAACAAATTAACCCTGTGCTCGCTGTTCAACCGCTCGACATCGGTGTGAACCGGACCCAGCAGGTGCAGCAGAAGCAGCGAGTTTACATGCAAAGTAAATGGTTGACGCGTGTATAGGCGCAGCAAAAGGTCCTGCAGCGGGTTTTGAGCAGCAGGAGCGTTTAAGCATCTGCCAACGCGCTGCTGCTGCTCGAGATGGAAAAATTGAAGTTTTGCTGCTGGACGCGCCGCATCAACCAATCAGAGAAGCTGATCTGGGAGCTGACAGCGAGACAGACACAGCGCTCTGATGACACATGATATTAACGCAAATGGAAAAGGCTGGATGGATGAGGAGATGATGAAAGCGTGGCTGAGGGAGGTGTATGTGGGGAGACCAGGTGGTTTTTTCCACGCATCACCATCGCTGCGTGCCCATCTCACAGCCGATGTGAAAAAAAAGGTGAATCAAATTAACGCTGTGCTCCCCGTTATCCCGGGGGGTCTCACAAAGGAGCTTCAACCGCTCGACATCGGTGTGAAGCGGCCGTTCAAAGTAAGGCTGCGAGCGGCGTGGGAGCGATGGATGACAGACGGAGACCACAGTTTTAGGATAAGTGGAAGGCAGCGCCGGGCAAGTTACGCCACCGTTTGCAGATGGATTGTAGATGCTTGGACTAACGTGTCTGCTGGCTCTGTTGTTCGAGCTTTCGCAAAAGCCGGCATCATTTCCAAGGAGCCGCCCGGCACGGAAAGTGACTCTGACAGCGAAGAAGAAGGGGAAACTGGCATGTCGGATTTAGCGCAGCTGTTTAATTCAGAAACAGAGGATGAGGACTTTGAGACTTTGACTTTGAGATACTTGAATAAAGCACAATCATACTCAGTTTTGCTCCCGCTCTATTTTTCTACCTGAAAACTTAATTCAACAGCAGCCTCTGGGCCGCGGCGCATCCGGGCTCACCTCCGCAGGTGTTTTTTCATCGAAATAATCTAAATCTTTTTAAGTGAGAAAGTCCACCTGAAAATTTAATCATTGCAGTCAGTTCATCCAGATTATTATCCTGCCTATGTTTTAAGTTAATTTATGCGTCAATAAACTGTATCAGAGGAGTAATCACAGCCTTGTGTCATCAGCGATGTGTCTCTCACGGCCGGTTCCCAGGTTTGAATAATACTTTGTAATAAATACACCTTGCAGCTTTATTTGCTGTGATCAGTGGGAATAAAGTAGTTTTAATATGTTTTTAAGTGGGAAAATCCACCTGAGAGGACATGTACCTGTATATAAAAAACGCGCCCTATAGTCCGGTGCGCCTTATGTGTGTGTTAAATACAGAAATGGCACACATAACTGAGACTGCGCCTTTTAGTCCGGTGCGCCTTATGGTCGTGAAAATACGGGTATGTAAAACCTGTGGAAGACAAGGCTTTAATTATGGTCTGGCAAGAACAACCTGTCACAAAAAGGTCAAGGAAATTTCCACAAAATTACAGAATATGTTCCGATGTTTCTCTTTTTTTTCTTATATGCAGCATTTATCAGCAAACTACCATCATTTGTGACATGTTGCAATCTTTTGTCCTTCAGTATTGTATGGAGAGGAAAGCAGAAGCTTAGCTTAATATTTCAAAATATAGTCAATTCAGCTTCTTCCAACTGGTCAGGGATGTTATATGGAAATGCGGGGGGCATAAATCAGAAAAGTCTTATTCAAAATTCAATATTCAATTAAGTCCCATTGTTTATATAATTCTAAGTCATTTTTTGAATAAAGCAAACCAGTTTGTATAATAAATCTACTTAAGAATGAAATGTATTTCCATACTTGGTAAAGCAGTTGATCTGATTTATTATTTACTTACTTACCATAGTGGAGACCTTTGAAAAAAAACAAGTTTAGTTCAAGCTAAATCTTTGTGTGCTCCTTTTTGCACAGAAGAGATAAATTAATAGTAAACACATCTATTAAACTGAATTGCTTCCTCAGACACTTCCTCTCATGACTGATAACGTAGAGATAAAACGTGGACAGGAACAGGAGCAAATTAATAGTGTCATAAATACTAAGAGAGTTTGGTTTAACTTTTAAGTGGAAGGAGACTGTTTTGTACCCTTTGCTCTGGCAACCCTAAATTTAAAAAAATTTGCAGAGTTCTTTTCAGAAATGCAGCTGTTAGGGAAGAGTACTTGATAAACAGCATCGTGAAGACTAAAAAAAAGGTTAAGGAATCAAGTTTTGAAGACATTCAAAGCAGGAAAAAATAATGATAAGCTTTGGATATCACCCTGAAATGGAACGGCTAAGTCGTGAATCTATTCAGAGACAGTGGTAGGGAGAGAACAGTGAATGGAGAAATGGCTTGAAGGACTCTGGCACCTCTGGAGGAGCAGAGACAAGGAGGCAAAGATGAGTTCTTGCAGATTTAATGAGATGTAGATGGCAACAGAAACACAAATCCAGGAACAATAAACAAGAAACCAAAACCAGGAGACACCAGGGAGAAAGACACTGGAGGATCGAAGCAATGAAGAGAAACCAGCACTAAGGAACTACAATGGAGGTCTATTTATGGGAGGCCGAACAAAGACTGGGCTAATCAGCTGATATGGAGCAGGTGTGGATAGAAGAGACCAGAAGAAAGGGAAAAGGAGACTGGCACAACGGGGCAGCAGAGAGCAACACAGAAAACACAACACTGCTTAGATCTAACTAGAGAACAACAAAAATGGCTGTGTCCGAATGTCCACCCTAACCTCTAGATCCCTTAATCACTTTAAACAGTTGGGAGTATATAGTGGGCTTTATAGTTAACTCAGTTTACTGACTGTTCAAGCGGATGATCTCTTTATTATTCGTTGGCATTGTTGGATAGTGACAGCGGGCCGCTGTGACAACAAATCCCATAATTCTTTGCTAGGAGAGATCTCCTTTCAAAGCATTCTAGGATATATCTGCTCGTCTATTGCCCATGGATCAGAGAATCAGAATCAGAAATACTTTAATAATGCCAGAGGGAAATTACTTTTGTTACACGCTCCAGATACAGTTTCATATACCGTATATATATATATATATATATATATATATATATATATATATATATATATATATATATATATATATATATATATATATATATATATATATATATATATAAACCACACAAGATAATAAAGATATAAATATATACACATATAAATCTCACTACTTTTCAAGGTGTATTGTGGGAAATTTTGTATCAATTATTTTTTCCTCCACTTGGCATGTAAACACTCATATAAAATGGCTTAACCACTATATAGTGCCCTATTTAGTGATTAGGGCGGACATTTGGCCACAGCCAATGACACAAAATGGAGAAGAAACCAATTACCGAGAAAACAGAATGAAATAAATCAAAGTGTAATTGAAAACTAGAAAAAGAAACCTAAACAGAACCACAAAGTCCACAAATAGCAGAATCATGAATTGAGATGATGGGGGAAAAAATAGCTGGAGCTTAATAAAGGCCTATCCTGGAGGTAGAAAAACAGTCAGTGGCTGCAAAAGACTGGAGGGGAGTTTGACCTACAAATACAGACTGATCGGTAATAGAATTGTTTAAAGCAGGCATCCCCAACCTCAGTCCTGGAGGCCCGCTGTCCTGCAGGTTTTAGAGGTTTCCCTGCCTTAGCACAGCTGATTAGAAAGATTGCAGTAGACCAAAAGCCTGTTAATCAGCTTTCAATTAAAATCAGCTGTGCTGGAGCAGGGAAACCTCTAAAACCTGCAGGACAGTGGGCCTTGAGGACCGAGGTTGGGGATGCCTGGTTTAAAGCATATTCATGTGTTATTTAAGTCCATGGTAATAGAAAATAAGTGAGATTCACACATAGTTTCCAGGCAACTAGACTGTTATTATGCTATTTGGCAAAGAAGAGTGATTCAGATAGTTTTTAGGGTGTTTGCTTTTACTCACAGCATTTTTCCTAAGCCATCAGAAATAATCTGAATAAAAGAAAAGTGTATCCCATTGCAAAATTTGAAAATTCCATCCAGTGAAATTTGAAGATAACATCCTTGTGGTTAAATATGCTGCTGTAGATTCTAACGCATAAAAATAAACACTGGTCAGCCCTGAATAAATCTCTAAGACTGACCCTTGTCATTCAATGAGGGCATTAGATCTGTTGAGGTGACATACAGTAGACTGCCACAATTAAAAATATTTCCTTTGATCAGTTTCACAACTTCCACTGCAGTTTTGTAGAAATTGTTGACACACTTTTGTCTGGAAATAAATAACCATTTCTGAAAATGACACGCCCAACAGGGCGTCCAAGGACCAGAGGTCCTAAAGTCACTGTTAGTAAATGTTTTCCATTGTTAATAAGTACCACGGTAGTATTCCACAGGGATCTCACCTAAATCATTAAGATTTGTTTACTCATTATATCTGATCAAAACTAAACAGTTCTGTTAAGTAAAAAAATTATTTCTGCACGATTATGTTTTATCACCTAACTAATCCTAATTTAAAGGAACAAACTTACCAACAATTTTGTTTAAGGTGTGATGTGTTGAAGGCAGAAATGAAATCATTTGATGGCTAAACATTACATCAAAGAAAATATAGGTTTATGCTTTATTTCTGTTTTTAATTTTTGCTGTTTGCTTTTAAAAAATCAATGGTCAAACATGCTTTCTAAAACTAAGATTATTAACATTTGCTTTTACAGGTCAATCTTTGACAAAAAAAAATATTAATATTGCTTTGCATTTTCAAAACATTTTTTTTTTACAGAAAATGTAATTTTAAACATCTGACAGATAAATTAAAGGAACCAGAGGCAGAATGAGAAAATGAAAGTCACGAGTGACTCGACTGGTGCTGTGGGTAACTGCAGCCACCAGCCAAACGGGAACGCACGCTTCTTAGAGAAGCTATATTCACTGCACTGCACTGGTTACGCTGTAACAATGTTTACAGATTAACCTTTTAGTGGGATATAAGTTGATGGTTGTTTGCTGACTGCAGAATATTCCTATCCCTGACAGTGTTTGAAATAACCATTTCTTCTTCTACTACTACTAGTGAAACAGCCATGACTTCCTGTATCAAAGCTTGACGTGTTGCTCATCAATTGACATCACATCCGTAGAACTCCACGAGACATTTGGCCTGAATTACAGTGTATTATGCAGAACAAAGTCTATTCAAGGCAATGGAGAGATGCGTTAGTTTTGGTTTTTAACTCCTCATCATCTATTAGCATTAAAACACTGTACATGCATTTGTATTCTTTCACAGTTCCTGCTCATAGTACCTTTAAAATTGAAAAAATATTGTGAGTGCCGGGATAAAAAAATAAAAACAACAAAAGACAAATGTATTCAAAAAGAGTACTGTAAATCAAGTAAAATGTATATTTTTTATGGACACTGGTTAGTGCCATGATATACTTACACTTAGACAAACTTTATTCTGATTTTGTATACACAAAATGTATACAAAATGAGAATACAGCTTACAACAGTGAAATGAACTTTACCAATATAAAGTGCAGCAGTGATCAGAATATAAACAGAGTAGAAGAAAAGGAGACTAGTTTAAAATTAATGGTGCAAAAGGACATTAAAATGGAAAGGTTCAGTGCAGTGCAAAATGAATATGGTGTAAATTGCAGTAGAAGTTGTGTCCTATTTAAAAGGATTATAAACGTTTCAGCCATGTTGGTAGTGCAAAAATTATGTTGCAAGTGTGATTCATAGTCATATTTAGAGTTGAACAGCTTAACAGTCAGATGGCAGTGGGGAAGAAGCTGTTGCAGAACCGGCTGGTCTTGCAGCAGATGCTGCCAAGCCTCTTCCAAGGGAGAACAGTCTATGGTGGAGGTGTGAGGGGTCACTGATGATGCTGATACAGTTAATAAGTAGGTTATGAAACAGTTACTGAAACATTGATTTATTCAAACTTGAAATAAATGCAGAATTCATTTGATGTAATTATTACACGATTTCATCAATTATTTAATGTCCCTGTACATTTAAATAACTATTTCATTGGCGTGCAGGTGGCGCAGTGGTTAGTGCGCACGACCCATATACCGAGGCCTTAGCACTCAAGCTGACCGGTTTTGAATTTGACCTGTGGTCCTTTGCTGCATGTCTCTCCCCCTCTCTCATACCCCCTTTCCTGTCAGCCTACTGTCAGAAAAATTAGCCACTAGTGCTATAAAAACCCTAAAAGAAAAATAAATTAATAAAACATTATTTCATGAGTCAATTATTCTTTTATTGTGGCATCCATCATCCTCCAGGATTTTCCAGCTATGTATATCTTGGTATGATAAAATGTATCAGAAAATTTAATCAAACCCATCTAAAGTATTAAATTTTTTCCATAACTGCTGAACCTTCATAGCTCAGCAGGTCTTTGTACCCCTCCCCATCTCAGTGTGGAGAAAGTACAGACTTTTTATTAAACAAATTAACTTTCTGGTTTTGGCATTTACACCAAAGAAACTGTCCTGTTTGATATAGGGCTTTAATTTAAACTTGAACTTTGTCCGTTTTTTTCTCTGTTGTTCATTTCAGCTGAAAAACAAGTTCATGAAGAAGTTGCCGAGAGACGCGGAGGCCTCCAACGTGCTGGTGGGAGAGGTGGATTTTCTGGATGCCCCCTTTGTGGCATTTGTTCGTCTGCAGCAGGCGGTGATGCTGGGAGCATTGACTGAAGTCCCTGTTCCTACAAGGTTGCTAACATGCAAAGCTAAAAATGACCTGAAACATGCATCAGTGCACAATGAGCATTCTTTCTAAATACAACTCCACAACAAGTATTTTATAATAAAGAAATTAGGCAAATTTGTAAACACCTTTTTACATTTTACACAATTTATGTTTTTCTTTGAAATAACAACCGATTACTGTACTTTCTTCTTTATCCTGTTTTGCTCCACTATACAGGTTTTTGTTCATCTTGCTTGGACCCAAAGGCAAAGCGAAGTCATATCATGAGATTGGCAGAGCAATCGCTACACTGATGTCCGATGAGGTTAGATTGTGTTGTACAATCACTGAAATAATACTTCATACTGTACTTGGTACTTTTGTGAAATACAGAAAAACTCATTGCAAAAGCTAAATGAGTAAAGTAAATATGTAATTTCAATGCTCTAAATATTGAAGAATTTATTTCACTGAATTATCCATAAATTCAGGAGCTGTTATAAATTACTTAAAGCAAGTGACTGGTTAGGACTGTAGGCAGTAATAATCATCTGGACACAGTATTTGCAGAGCTGCACTTTTCTAATGGCTGCAGAGTGGAATAGATTTTTTTCAGAGTTTGCCAAAAATATTTCTCCAAAAGGACAAATTCTATGAGCAATTCAAACCACCTGTTTAACAGGAGTATATATATATATATATATATATATATATATATATATATATATATATATATATATATATATATAATATATAATATATATATATATATATATATATTAATAACCCACGAAAACAGGATCTATTCTGTCACTTCAAGGTTCTGCACTCAGCAATCATATTCAAACCTCTTTCTCTTTTTGCAATTTGTGAGTCTCTACTGAAATTTGAATAAAATTTACCTTAATTATTTCACTGCAAGTAAAGTGAAAAGCAACTTATTTATATGTTTTCTTTTGTGACAAATAATAACAAAAATAACAAAGAGGGGTGAAACCTTTGAAAATCTAAGCTGACTCCAAGAACTCTGACACTTTGTGAGGTAAATGGTCAAGTTGATTAAATTGATGAATGACATTGCTCTTCACAGTTTTTGGGTTGATTCAATGGGATTAGTCGTCTATATAGTGTTTGTATGTCAGCGCTCTATTTCCTTATTTAGTAATCCCCAGATCTGATATCACAGTTCACTGCCCTGTGAAGCTGCATGCTTTCACTGTGAACTTTTTCCGCTCTAATACATCGACCCTCTCCCTTTTTTTCCTCAGATCTTTCATGACATTGCATATAAGGCGAAGGACAGACAAGACCTGCTGGCTGGTATCGATGAGTTCCTGGATGAGGTGATTGTACTTCCTCCAGGAGAGTGGGACCCGACCATCAGGATAGAGCCGCCCAAATCTCTTCCCTCTTCAGATAAAAGGTCAAAAACTAGAAACTCCTTAGTGTATTGTTTTAGTATCCAGCATAGATTCAATAGAATGATGTCTGTTGGAAAAACAACTTAGATTTACAATTTGTATACAGCGTCTTGCAGAAAAATTCACACTCTCAATTTGCATCCAGGTGCACAAAATAATTATGCAACTGCCACCGTTAGTATTATATAAAGCTGCTGTCAGACAGAAATATCCCATTGTTTAAGTCAGCACTGATCAATCAGGCTATTTAATCCCCCTAATGGATACCAACATCATCTGACGAGGAACAGGCAAATGAAGGTGACGACATGATGAATAAGATAACAGTTTGTGTCGGCATCACTGGGCCAATGTTCGACCTAAATCAAATGAGTATTTTTAGGTGACTTAGTGTTAATCTGTCACAGTACTGACTACAAAAACGTATTGCCCCTTTAGGAAAAACATGTATGCAGGAGGGGATTCCCAGATGAATGGAGACGCGCCTCATGATGGAGGTCATGGAGGAGGTGAACATGCAATGGGGGAGGAGCTTGAGAAGACTGGAAGGTATAATGATCTAAATAATTAGTTATTAGTATAATCTATCTATCTATCTATCTATCTATCTATCTATCTATCTATCTATCTATCTATCTATCTATCTATCTATCTATCTATCTATCTATCTATCTATCTATCTATCTATCTATCTATCTATCTATCTATCTATCATCTATCTATCTATCTATCTATCTATCTATCTATCTATCTATCTATCTATCTATCTATCTATCTATCTATCTATCTATCTATCTATCTATCTATCTATCTATCTATCTATCTATCTATCTATCTATCTATCTATCTATCTATCTATCTATCTATTTCTGTCTGTCTGTCTGTCTACAGTCTCATCTAATTGTTCCTGTGAAATAATGTACGGCACAAAGCAGTTTATTTTTTTCTCTCTAACTTACAACACATCTTCATCACGTCAGCTCAAGGCAATTTCCAGGCCAAATTAGTAAAATTACACAGACAGATCAGTTAAAAAGTCCAGTATGTAAAAAAACCAGAATGAATGTTGGTCTTGACTAATGAAGACTTACTTTTATAATTCAAATACATGTCCAAAACCTTAATTTCAGTGTAGTATCAATTTTAACCATGGCTTTTTTTTCCAGTGTAAAAACTGACACAAAATGCATCATTTATTATAAATCATTATGCATGGCTTTAAAAAAAGAAAAAAACATGTCATAAAACCTTTCCTTTGCAAAACTCTAGATGTATCAATGATGAACGGCTACAAGGAATGTCTCACGGCCATTTCGTGGCTGGCGTACGCATAGTGCTGCAGTTACAGGTGTTTAGTGACACTTGAAAGATGTGTTAGAAAAAATGTTAACAATCTACTGTCAAACTAATTAATGTTCCCACTACAGAGTATAGACTGTAGATATGTGACTTTTGATAAAGTAGAGAGAAAATTCACAGCTGCTAGTTAAGTCTACGTCTGTTTCTATTTTTACATGGAGACTTGGCAAAGTGCAAGTCAGTGTGATTCATGCGTATGGAGAGTTTCTCACATCTAGATTTATACTATGTTTAATAAGTTGAAGATTATGCAAGTGGGAAATCATAAAGCATTTTAAACTTATGAGTGACAGTAGATATTCTTTTAATTATTATATATTTTTTTACCTGGATTGCATCTTAAAGATTTATTTTTTGGTCAACTCTTTTGAAAGTTATGAATGTTTGTTTTTCAGCTTACAGGTTAGGAATGTTGTTGTGCTTCTAAACCTTCTAAAGTTTTTTTAAATTCTTTTCGCCAGGTTTTGTGGGGGCCTGATACTTGACATAAAGAGAAAAGCGCCTTTCTTTGTCAGTGACTTCACTGACGCGCTTCACATCCAGGCCTTGTCGGCCATTTTGTTTATTTACTTGGGAACTGTGACAAATGCCATCACCTTTGGCGGTCTGCTGGGAGATGCTACAGAAAACATGCAGGTCAGGGAGGGCTTTTAACTCTGAAAATAATGCAAAGTGTGACACCGATCTCAGATTTGTTCTTTAACCCCATTTACATGTTTGCAGGGTGTACTGGAGAGTTTTCTGGGCACTGCCATTGCTGGCGGTGTTTTCTGCTTGTTAGGGGGCCAGCCACTTATTATTTTGAGCAGCACCGGTCCGGTACTGGTGTTTGAAAGGCTGCTTTTCAACTTCAGCAGGTAAGCTCCGGATATTCTAAATTTGCTCAAAGCCTGCTAATTACATTTATTCTGGAATTTTATCAAATATGTGTATAAACCTTAAATAAGAAATAAACTGCTCAACTTAAAAAAAAATAAATCAAGTTTTGTAATTGTGTTTTTGAAAATAAACTTTGTAAATATATTTCTTCATCCTAATGTGATAATTTTTTTCAACCATAGTCTATACACTGTAAGTGCCTATGAAAACTTAAGCATTTATTGTCCCATGTTAATTATGAATTTTCCTTTAGGTTTTTTATTTTTATTTGAATATTTTCCTCAAAAGGAAATAAAACATTTCCTGTCTTCTTGTCGTCTTAAACTTCAGAGGTTTTGGAGTTATTTTGTGTGATTTTGCATTTAGGGACCATGAGTTGGACTACCTGGAGTTCCGCCTATGGATCGGCCTGTGGTCAGCGTTCTTCTGCCTGGTGCTCGTTGTCACAGATGCCAGCTTCATGGTGAAATACTTCACCCGCTTCACAGAGGAGGGCTTCTCGTGTCTAATCAGCTTCATCTTTATCTACGATGCCTTCAAGAAGATGATTAAATTAGCTCACCACTACCCCATCAATTCAGACTACAATATGGAAAACATCACACAGTATGAATGTCTCTGCATGTCACCTGTGGTCTCAGGTGAGGAGTTCCTTGACTTTATTGACCGTTTTTCATCTAATACCTTTTTCAGAAACAATTTAGGGATGAGCAGTTCACACCAGAAAAAGTACAAATTAAGTTTATCTTAGCAATATAAATCTGTGGTTAATACACACTTATAGTGTTAACATTAAGACCAACTGAGATAACAGTGAGAGGGTGCTATCAAGTATGTTAAAATATGCATCTTAAGAGGACATGTTAGTGTATTACAGTGAATACAATGTGCAATTCAAATTCAAAAGTACTTTATTAATCACAAATGGTAATTAAGCATTGCAGGAACTCAGGTCTTTTTTTAACCAGTTATAGTAGGTGTTGATAGCTGTAGACTTAAACAAACTTCATTGTAATTTTGTATGCACAAAAAGAAATTTTGTTGCATACAGCTTACAACTGTATAATAATATTGCAGTCCGAGAAAGATAAGCATTACCAATATAAAGTGCAGCAGTGATTAGAATGTAACAATGTAGGAGAAAAAGATACCGGTTTAAAACACTGGTGCAAAAGGGCATAGATATGGAAAGGTTTAGTGCAGGGCAAACAAAATATGGTGCAAAATGCAGTAGAACATTCAGTCGTGTCCTATTTAAAAGGATTATAAAAGTTCAGCAGGGTTGGTAGTGCAAAATAATGTTGCAAGTGTGATGCAGGAGGGATTTTCTGAGGCGCTGTGTCTTGTGCTGGATCTAGAGAAGCTGACACTCTTTTGTCTTTAAACAATCATCTGAAGAGGATGCTCACTGTTGACCATAATGTTCTTCACTTTATGTTTTTTCTTTCTTTGTGAAATCGTCTCCAGAGGTTCTGGAGGACTTCCTCCCTTGAGTTTTCTAAATCGAAATCTCTGTCTGTTCATTTGGTCAGAAAGCCTCGCAGAGAGACACTGTAGTTCGAGATATTTTCCCGAAGCCATGTTTCTGTGAAACTCACAATGCTAAATTGCTGTTATCCTGGCTGGGTCCTTGCTAGGGCTTTGAGTTCTGCTAACTTGTTATGGATATTATGGTCAAAGATCTGACATCGTCAATAATAGTTGATGGAAGTGATGGCTTCAAATTCCTGCTCCTCTCTCTTTTCCCTGCTCCTGGTCTGCATCTCTGGCACCTCCTGTTTAACTGAGCTGGCAGTTGAAGTATTATTTCTGCCTTAGATGTGTTTATGAGCTGCTTGCTGTGGGAAAAAAAATCTATATATAAGGTCTTTAGAAGTTTACAAGTGTGCTGAAGGCCTGATGAGCTGTGACTGAGTGATTATCTGGCAATAAGGTTGTTGGTTTGATTCCAGCTCCAGCCATCACATGACTGTTATATGGTGAGTTGCTGGGTGATGTAGGCCTACATATCAGTGTATGAAGAATTTTGTGAGTGTGATCTGTGGTGTATGAGCCAGTTTCTGAAATACTGTAAGATGCGACTTAATTAAAGTAAGTAGTTCAGTACTTTAGTGGTGGGTCAGGATTGACTTGTGTGCTGATCCCATTCTGGTTTGTGTCAAGAATGGTGCCTGGTTTACCCCTGCAGGATTGTGTAATGCTGAAGGAAGGGCAATGCAGGCCATTACTGGTGTTTAGTGGCATTATGGTCACTCATACTGATATAAAATAAGACTGTCTGGTTCTTCCTCAAGGGTGTCCTAAACACTGGAAGAATGTGTCCTTTTTTGAGTGTGGCTATATTACAGCTGGCTTGAATGGTGATGTCATGACTCTTAAATCTGCGTTTTCAGTCATTGGCCAGATAATGAGCCAAGTGTTGGATATTTTTATACAGTATATGATAATGTACAGTGTTATTGAGTACTCCAGTCCAGCTGGTGGAAGCAGATGCCATTTATTGATTTTGGGATGGTACTGACAAGGTTCTATGGTATGTTGTTTAAAATTCTTGCTAGTCATCCAACAACCCAATGTTAACCAAAAATAAGTGCACATACCACCTAAAATATGTACAAAGCTTCTCCAGGATGCCTTCAATGACCATCCTGATTGACTGGCTCTTTTTGGTGCAAACAGCAGGAAAGAAGTCAATTTTGTAAAATATTAATTCATGTCATCTTTTGGATATAAATTTCAAATCTCATGTCAGCCTGTTACCCGTGGCAAGGCAATGCTTACATCTTATATGCTCAGTGTTGTGCTTCATTCTAATAAATATATACATCCTGCCTTTATAGCACACAAAATTTGAATAATTTAAATACAAAATATTCAGTTAATATTCCAACCACTTTGCACTTAATTTTCTTTCCTATTTGGTACGTAACCTTACTGCTCAGCGAGTTGAATAAAACTAAACTGGAATGATGAAGTGCTATTAAAAGTTGTGTAAAAGTAATATTGTTTTGTTGCATTTTGCAGAAAACGAGACAGAGCTGCTTGACGATCCTTTAGGGGATGGATCAACGTGGTACTTGAACAACAATGGCCTGGTGAGTGTTTTTTCTATAAAGTTAATTTATAGAAAAAAGATGAACTTATAATTATATAAACTGAGAATCTTTAACATTGTGACTGCTGCTGTCTGCTGAGAGACAGCAAAACATTTCTAAACATGTCCACACATTTACCTGTTGCAGTGTTAATTCTGATGGACTTTAATCAGTATGCTGCTGGAAATATTTCACTAATTTACTTGGGGCTCCGGGAATGAAGTTAATATCTTGATCTTTAAAAAGATGAATGTGGCTCTTTTTTGTTTGGGGGGGGGGGGGGGGGGGTATTTGTTTTGCTGTCTGAATGTTTTGTATCAATTTGTAGCCTTCTTTCTTAACATGTGCATCTAGGTGAGAATTTTCCCTTTAAGCTGCCTATATATATGTTTATGAATCTGTTAAGTTTTGGGTTAAGACTGTGCAAAAGTGGCTCTAGTGTTAAGCATTTCCATTGAGCAATACATAAATGTTGTCCATTGATCCATTAAATTGCTTACAAAATCCATATAGTACATATTTGGGTGTTATATTTACTGTCAAAATGCAGGATAACAAAGAACCCAAACGACTGCCAATTCCTAAGGGGCGGACCCGTTTGTCAGGTTCAAATTGCATGTTTTCTAAGCCAAAACAGGGCTTTGTCTTTGGCCCACTTTATAAAGCCTCGAACTCAATGATATTTCTGACATTTTGAACGGACAAAGCTTCCAGGATTTGAAGCTTTGTGTCTTCAAACTTGGAAACAAAGTCCAGTGGATTGTTTTTTTTTTTTAGCTTTTTTGGAATGACTATGACCTGGATGACTGAGAGTCTTCACAATCATGCAGAGATTAACACCTTTACTTTGAAAGTTGGCTTGTGTGATTTTCTATACAGCATAGTTACAATTTATACTCATAATGCTTTTTCTCTTTCATGCAGGTACAAAACCGCTCATGGTCAAGGCTAACAAAGTCAGAGTGCTTAATGTACAATGGAGAGCTGGTGGGAGAGGCCTGTAACTATGTCCCAGACATCACCCTCATGTCCTTCATTCTCTTCTTTGGTACCTACACTACCTCCATGTGTCTTAAGAAGTTCAAAACAAGTCAATTTTTCCCCACCACTGTAAGTAGCATGATATTAAATGCATATTTTTTAAATGTCTAAAGAGAGATGCACTTTTCATCAATATCGTGGTCTATAACTGACCTTGATGTTTAATTCAGATTTCTCTATTTTCCGAAGAAATGGAACTAAATAGTATATCAGTTAAGCCTTTAAAGCATAATTAAACCACAATATAAACAGGTTAAAATTAAAAACCTTTCTCTAACTCTTGAAATAAAGTGACATACCTACATACCAAGGAAGGTCATAATTTGTTTGAACATGATCCATTTTAAATGCACAAGAGCTTTGTTCAGTTTAACAGTAAAGAGTGTGTATTAGAAAGCTGTCTGCTGATTTGTTTTTAAATTAGGAGCTAGGTTAATGTTGAGAACACAGAGAGAGAGCAAATGGTGTTACACATCTCTTTAGTTAAACAGAACTTCCCGAATATTTGAAGATAAATGGTTACTATTGAGTGAACATATTAAACTGTGTTGAGCATAATTCATTAATTTATTAGCAATTTGTATGTTTAGTTTGTAAGCATGCTGTCCTATTATGTAAATTGAATAATTTGTTCCAATAGGAGCTTTTTTATCATATTAGAACTGCCTTTTGAAAACCAAAACCAAACAGATATCAAGCAAATTTATTATGCCCACTTTTCTGTATTTTTTTTAAATATATATTGTAAATATTACTAATTTTGCTAATGTAGTTTTGTCAGTATCTCTCTTTTGTCTTTTCTTTCTTTCACCTTTTCTCCCATTTTTTAATTTCCACATTACATTAATTATTCCCTACATAAACCATAATAAAGCTATTTACATATATAAATCAAGCAGAGCACTATGGCAAAAGCGATAATGCTCCACTTGTGATAGTAAAATCTGTTGGGCTCTTTCTGGCATTAAGACAACAATTCCTAAAATCACATTGCCGGATAGAACAAAAAAAGTTTTAAATAGCACAGATTTAATATCCTACATTTTGATGCATTGATTATGCATGATATTGTAAAGGTAGCTAATTTTACCAGTGTCAAAGCTCTTTCCGAAAACACACAGTTTGCATGAAAGGGAGGGAGATTTAAGGTTAGAAATACAGCAAACTCATAAAAATCACAACTATTTCTTCTTGTTCTGCATCTGATGTCCATTTTGTAACACCTCACTGATACTGTATTATAATTCCTCCCAACCAGGTAAGGAAGCTCATCAGTGACTTTTCCATCGTCCTGGCCATCCTTATCTTCTGTGGGGTTGATGTTTTCGTGGGAGTTGACACTCCTAAACTTATTGTGCCAAGTGAATTTAAGGTGAGATCTTTTTAGTCATTAAAGGTTTAAACAAATACAACAAGATGAGATTAGTATCAAGATTTATAGGAATTAGTTGTAATATTTCTAAGAAGCATATATATATATATAAAGATGGTGAAGCTCTTATTTTCATCCCTCTCTACAGCCAACAAGCAATCTCAGAGGCTGGTTTGTGCCTCCATTTGGAGGAAACCCCTGGTGGGTTTATCTGGCCTCTGCTCTTCCTGCCCTCCTCGTCACTATTTTGATCTTTATGGACCAACAGATCACTGCTGTGATTGTGAACAGGAAGGAGCACAAGCTAAAGGTACAGTTTAAAGTGTTAGGCTTCTGTTGAGGTAAAGCAGGGAAGCTATCCTTATCTTGGTTTTAAGGCTAATGTCCATAAAGAGTGAATACCAGCTACATTCACTCTGTACTTAAAAATCATTCTTCTCATGAAAGTCAGAGATGTTTCATGAGTTATGGCGCTTTGACACCCCAACCATTTAGCCAGCAAATGCAGATGTCCCAGAATCTTCTAAAAACGCGGGCATACGCTGAACATACGTATTTTTTTTTAATTTTGGGGGGTATATGCATACAGTGGGGCAAAAAAGTATTTAGTCAGCCACCAAGAGTGCAAGTTCTCCCACTCAAAAAGATGAGAGAGGCCGGTAATTTTCATCATAGATATACCTCAACTATGAGAGACAAAATGAGAAAAAAAAAATCCAGAAAATCACATTGTCTGATTTTTAAAGAATTTATTTGCAAAATATGGTGGAAAATAAGTATTTGGTCAGTTACAAACAAGCAAGATTCCTGGCTCTCACAGACCTGTAACCTCTTCTGTAAGAGGCTCCTCTGTCCTCCACTCGTTACCTTCATTAATGGCACCTGTTTGAACCCGTTATCAGTATAAAAGACACCTGTCCACAACCTCAAACAGTCACACTCTAAACTCCACCATGGCCAAAACTAGAGAGCTGTCAAAGGACACCCGAAACAAAATTATAGACCTGCACCAGGCTGGGAAGTCTGAATCTGCAATAGGTAAACAGCTCGGTGTGAAGAAATCAACTGTGGGATCAATTATTAGAAAATGGAAAACATACAAGACCACTGATAATCTTCGTCGATCTGGGGCTCCACGCAAGATCTCACCCCGTGGGGTCAAAATTATCACAAGAGTAAAAGAGTAAAAATGAGTAAAAATGAGTAAAAATCCCAGAACCACATGGGGGGACCTAGTGAATGACCTGCAGAGAGCTGGGACCAAAGTAACAAAGGCTACCATGAGTAACACACTACGCCGCCAGGGACTCAAATCGGTCAGATGAAACCAAAATATAACTTTTTGGTAAAAACTCTACTCGTCGTGTTTGGAGGAGAGGGAATGCTAGGTTGCATCCAAAGAACACCATACCTACAGTGAAGCATGGGGGTGGAAACATCATGCTTTGGGGCTGTTTTTCTGCTAAGGGACCAGGACGACTGATCCGTGTGAAGGAAAGAATGAATGGGGCCATGTATCGTCAAATTTTGAGTGAAAACCTCCTTCCATCAGCAAGGGCATTGAAGATGAAACGTGGCTGGGTCTTTCAGCATGACAATGATCCCAAACACACCGCCCGGGTAACGAAGGAGTGGCTTCATAAGAAGCATTTCAAGGTCCTGGAGTGGCCTAGCCAGTCTCCAGATCTCAACCCCATAGAAAATCTTTGGAGGGAGTTGAAAGTCCGTGTTGCCCAGCGACAGCCCCAGAACATCACTGCTCTAGAGGAGATCTGCATGGAGGAATGGGCCAAAATACCAGCAACAGTGTGTGAAAACCTTGTGAAGACTTACAGAAAACATTTGATCTCTGTCATTGCCAACAAAGGGTATATAACAAAGTATTGAGATGAACTTTTGTTATTGACCAAATACTTATTTTCCACCATATTTTGCAAATAAATTCTTTAAAAATCAGACAATGGGATTTTCTGGATTTTCTTTTTCTCATTTTGTCTCTCATAGTTGAGGTATATCTATGATGAAAATTACCGGCCTCTCTCATCTTTTTAAGTGGGAGAACTTGCACTATTGGTGGCTGACTAAATACTTTTTTGCCCCACTGTATATATATTTATTGTGTTGGGCACATTACTTTGAAAAAGTAATTAGTTATAGTTACTAGTTACTTCTCCCAAAAAGAAACTGAGCTAGTAACTGAGTTACTCCACAATAAAAGTAACTAGTTACTAGTAAAAGTAACTATTGCGTTACTTTTGCGTTTCTCGCCCCCGTAACCCTCATCACCCGGCCCCCACCTTTTCGCCCCTTTTCGCCGTGTGTTTCAAAAGCCAGCTGAATAGAGTGGAGGACAAAGACAAGTACCTACAGAGAGTTTCGCATTTATTGCAACTCAGCGTAAATGACATCGTGGGAACGCTATCTGACAGGGTTTATAGGCCCGTCAGATAGCGTTCCCACTAGAGATAAGTTCTTGATAAGTTAAGCATAAGTTATGCACAAGTTACTCATAGGTTTTGGATAGGCTGGACCCCATGACTTATGAGTTACAGTTAAAGTGTGTCAACAATCAAATAACTTACCTGTAACTTATGCCCCACGTATGACCATACCCTGGCATACCTCAAAATTTCTCGACGTAATTGCTCTGTCTGTTTACCCATAACCTATCCAACGTACGGCAGCGTTTTTGCCAAATTTTTCATATGTCGGTATATGCTGGCTAAATCGTCAAGGTGTGACAGGACTGTTACTGATCATAGTTCAGGTCGAAATCCAACAACCTACAGCTTTCAGTAGACCACCTGAACCTGAGTATGTTATTTTGGTTTTCTATCTACATTTTTTGTTCAATGTTGATATACATGGATATACCATTGGCACAAACCTCACATCATTTTGGCCTCTTCAGGGTTTATATTAGTTCTCCAAAGTGGAATGAATACAAAACAAAAGCTTCACAGTTTTTTTTAAAAAGTTGGTGCACAAGTTTGAATTTATTGTGCATTTTCTGTAATTCGGAGAGTCTGAAACTTCTTACAAGCAGAAGAGGGTTAAAGCTGCCTATAGTTGTCCTCACTCCCAATCTTTTGCACCTACCAATAAGCTTGTGGCATGACTTGTCAGCACATCGACCACAGTAGTCCCACTGGAAAAATTATCTTGAAATACACAATATGTCTTAAATTAAGTTTATTTACCCTTACTTTGAATGTGTAATGAGAAAGTTTGCCAATGGAAATGCATTTTTACTCTTAAAATAAGATAGTAAGTCATGGATTTAAAGACTAGAAATATATATTGTCTTGTTACATCTGGAAAATGTCATGACACGGGGACAGAGGGACCCAGTATTCAAGGAGAGACAGTCAGTAGGAAAGTTCAAAATGTTTATTAAACAAACAAAACAAAAGCGGAGCTTGCGAACACTGCAGGATGGGGAGCGGGGCACCGCTCAATCATCGACACTCTGCAGGGGAAACACAGGTAAGTGACCACGATCATCTGGCAAAGGATGATTATCTGAGTTGGCCACTTACCTGGTTTAACAGTCCAGTCCTAGAATGTCCCCAAGTGCTGCAGTTCCAGAGGACATGCTGGAAGCTGATCCTGGTCAGGGATCCAGAACAGACAGGAACAGACAGGGACAGGATCCAGATCAGGCAGGAACAGAAACAGGTGGCAGGATCCAGACTTCGAGGCATCCACAGGCTCCCAGGAGGGTTCAGGGTCTGACTGGGACCAGAAGCATGACCAGGTGGTCACGCACAGGATCAGGTGCAGACAGGCAGGCTCAGTGGAAGAGGGTAGCCGAGACAGGACGAAGAACCGGAACTTGATGCAGGACTTTAAACTGGTCTCCTCCCTGGAGCCAGGCTAACTGGATAAAAACGGAACCTCCCCACATATTGAGCCAAAAACCCAGAGGACTCCGCAGGGGAGGAAAAGTGGACAATCAGGAGACGAGACAAACACAAAAACCCTCTTTCCACTGGCTGCTAGGATCCAGGACATGAACCATGAACTAAAACTGAAACGACAGACTGACAGAAAGACAAGAAATGATCTGGCCCTGAATGCTCAGGCTGAACCGAATATAACCAAGAGGAAACGGGTGAGAGGAATAAATTATAATTGAGGCAGGGAGGGAAAATAACAGGTGAGAGAAATAACCAATTAAGGGGGAGCAAACAGGCCAGATCACAACAGAAAATGTCTCTTTAACCTCATCAATTTAAGAACAAATAAGCTTATTTTAAGAAAAAAATACTTATCTAGTTTTTGATCATTTCCAGTGCAGGCTACCATACAATGTTGGTGCATACTACAATTCACTTTGACTGTTGTCAGACTTTGTTAAAATGCCTTTCAATAAATCATAAATTTACATTAATGATTGTGATGAGAGGATGTAATCCTGACCCGAACCGTATCTGCTGAATACACAGAAAGCTTTCTTATGCTGAATTAATCGGCTCTGTAATCAAGGGAGGTGTTAGCAGGGATTCATGTTCGGGTGTATCTGCAGCTGGTCTTTCCTACTGACCATGGCCAAGCATGCTCTTGATCCTTAACCTTGTTTGTTGTCCTTAACAGAAAGGGTCAGGATACCATCTGGATCTGTTCTTGGTGGCTGTTCTGATGGTGGTTTGCTCCTTCATGGGCCTGCCGTGGTATGTGGCCGCCACCGTCATCTCCATCGCCCACATCGACAGTCTGAAGATGGAAACTGAAACGTCAGCACCAGGAGAGCAGCCCAAGTTCCTGGGTGTGAGGTGAGAACAAGGAAGTTAAATCTCAGTGACAACAAATTTACAGTATGTCTCTTCTGAGGAACAAGTCTTACATCAGTCTTACAGTCTGACACATTTCTTCAATTTAAAAACAAACAAACCCAACAATTGTATTAATCCCCCTGTTCTTATTGGCTCTGCCTCATCCTGGCCTCCACTGAGCCCCAGCATCAACCTTCCTGCCATCTTTGCCTCTTTAACTAAAATATGTAACATTTGGGACTTTTTTTTCTTTTTTTTTTTTGTTAATCATCAAATACATTTTCAGACAGACCACAGAGATGAAACACTTTTAAAAAAGAAGAAAGAGTCTTGTGGTGCTGCATGATGTATTGAAGAGGTCCGTATGCACAACAACATTTGAACATCAATGTAGTAACAAAGACCCCATAAGAAGTAGCCTAGTAAACTAGCCCCACCTGCCAGCGGCCAAAATGATTTATGCCTGTGAGTGATCTAGCCTCGATCAATGCCCCAGGCCCTAGAACTAGTGGGCCAATCACAACGCAGAGATGTGTTTTGAATTTCTGGATGCTAAGCGGGCAGGGTTTTGAGGGCATGACGACAAAGCTGTGCGACACTGGATATAACACAACAAGGAAGATGGCAACAACTATTGAATAGTTCTCGTTTGACTTTTGAATCAGTTTTGTAAGGATTAGACTTGGGGTTTTCGTTGAAACGTGAGCAGGAAGAGGCTCTACGCTCATTCATTTTTAAGAAGGACGTATTCGTTGTTTTACCGACAGGCGGTTTGTTTACACTCCCCTACCAGCTTTCTGTCTTGCTTACTACGTCACAGTCTGTTGTGCTCATTGGTCAGAGCGTTGGCCAATTGACACAGACATGGTTTGAAAACCAACGGGTTGTTCTCATCAACAATCTTCCGATGTCTCATTCATCTGGGCGAGACTAAATTACTCATTTAATCTCACATTTAGTCTGGTTTATCGGGCTATATTTATCAGGCCACATACGAAGGCCGTTTTTCTTCAATATTTTTTTTTCTCTCCTCTTAATCTGTACAGTACTGGAGCAATACCCCAAAGCAATCCCTTCCAACTGCATGATGTAGTTTCACCCCATCTAAAAGTCTCTGTGAGAAAGTGAACCTAAGTGATGTGAATTTATTAACTTTAAATATTTGTTGCAACAATCACTGAAGGAGACAAACACTCTGAATAAGCACTTAAAGTAATTTGAAGGCATTTGCCATTTTTGGAAGTATCAGAGAAAGAGGGGAAACTTAGAAAAATGCAATTTTCTTAAAAAAGAAAAAAACTACAGTCACAAGTTTAGCCATACCAAAAAGTCCCTTTACCCAGTCGGCTAAGAAGAACATTTTCCTCTTATCCTAGTTTTTTGATGAGGTCAGATCAAACCAAATGGACAGTTCTAAATACGCACACTGTCACTGTTTGACCTCCATAGGGTGGCCACATATTATGCTCAATTTAATATATATATATATATATAAAAAGTGTTTCAGATTGATCCATTTTTCAATTGATGGGTCTGTGCTGACATGAATGAAAAATCTAGATTTTTAAATGATTTTTTTATAGTAGAGTTAGGTGATTTGGTCTGTAGACGTTATCATTCACCAATTGAACATGTTCTTCCTGTTTTTGGATGGTCTGTGTTTTGTTTTCATATCTGTGTGCTGTCCTCCACAGCACCCTGATGTGGCAGCTGAACTAATAAACTGTTTAATAAACTGCTTTGAACTTTACAATGCTGCTTTTTCTGCTGTCTGTAGAGCATTGGTGAAAATTTGAAGCAAAAACTTGTACAATCTGTTAAAATATTGTCAGTGTGGTTCGTTATTGTCATTAGGTTATTAATCAAAACTATAAGCTTTTATTTTTCTGAAATTCCACTATTTTGCTGTTTTGCAGAGAGCAGAGGGTCACTGGAGTGTTTGTATTCGTTCTAACAGGACTAAGTGTGTTCATGGCTCCCATATTAAAGGTAATCTACTAAATAGTTTGCAGCATTAACACACTCTTTATTCACGTTCTCACCTTATGATTTCTTTTTGGTTAAATGTGAGTTTTCATCTCATATTGCGAGGTTTTACTTTATACATGGGTAGATATCAAGTAGCATTTAGAATAAGGAAATAAAATGATTGTCAATAGTCAAACTGAGAATGGAATTTTGGAATGATTTAAATGAAGCTAAAACCAGGAGAATTGTGGTAACTTGTTTTTATTTAAAGTCTACTACTGAATATATAGATTTACTGTATATTTATGCACATTGTATTTGTATTTCTTATGTAGTTTATCCCCATGCCAGTCCTGTATGGAGTCTTCTTGTACATGGGAGTGGCTTCTCTTAACGGTGTTCAGGTACTGTTCTTTAAAATTTGGACCCATAAAAGTTGGACATGTTGTTTTTTGTAGACATACAGTATATGCAAAAAGCTGCCATATAGATATCAATGACTTTGATTATTCCAGCCTGCAGAGCTGCCAGTTATGTGTACTTTTTTGTCCTCCACTGTCTAGTTTATGGATCGTCTGAAGCTGCTACTGATGCCAGCCAAGCATCAGCCAGATCTGGTTTACCTGAGACACGTTCCCCTCAGGAAAGTCCACGTATTCACCTTCTTGCAGATTCTCTGCTTAGCGATGCTCTGGATCCTGAAGTCCACTGTGGCAGCCATAATTTTTCCAGTGATGGTAAAGAAAGAAAATAAAATATTTAAGAGATTATCTTAATTAGAGATGTACTCCAGTTTTCTTTCCCACGAGCTTTGTCCCATCCCTTGTTTCCCATGTTTTCAGATTCTTGCTCTGGTGGCTGTCAGGAAAGCCATGGACTACATATTCTCCCAGCATGACCTTAGCTACCTGGATGATGTCATCCCAGAGAAAGACAAGAAAAAGAAGGAGGATGAGAAGAAAAAGAACTGTGGCAGCCTGGACAGTGATGCTGAGGATGTAAGAGTTTTCATTCTAGCAAAGGCTTGTTTTTTTAATCTACAGGCTTTTTACTATTGCTGTTTTTGTCAAGCTGACCAACTATCTGTGGTCCTTCTCACAGATTCCAATTTCTTGCCTTATGGGGCTGGATGTTGTCATAGAAAATCTTTTGCTCTACTCCTAGAAGAGCACATTACAAAGCACATTGTAATTTTTGCGACTTTGTATAACTAAAGAAAGTTCTTATCCCAAATGGATTAATTATATCAATATGTAGCATCAGTTTGAACGAGGTAAGGATATCTCTCTACTCTAGGTCCATATAAATCAAATTCAGTTTGAAATATACTTTATTGGCCTATGGCCCATGCATCATCATTTACCACTTTTGCTCCCTCAGAAATCCAATTGGGTGAAAGTTGTTGCTAACATTCTGTTGATAGATGCATTGAAAGCAGCACAATACCAGATTTGTATTTTACCTCAAAAAGAAACATTTGAAGAAAAAAAATCCTTACTTTACAAATGATTTATATTGTCATGTGTTTAGAGGTCTGACCCAAAAGGGGTCAGACCTCTGGGACTGACGTCTAGGGGGGTTCTTCTCTCACTTTGAAATCCAGTCAGTGTAGGTTGATCCAGAGAAGAGGGGACTCATTGGAGAGTGGACAGGTAGACATTTGTTGGCCCAGGAGGAGCAATAGAGCGGACTGCAACTTGGAATTCCCAGAGAACTTAAACGAGACGTGTGGAGGTTAATCCCCTTCTCAGTGTGAAAAACAAAACAATCCTTCCGGGGGAAGAAGGCCAAACATCCAGCTTGCAGGATGGCTTCCTGCCGAAAGGCATAGAGAAAAACAAAGTTAGGCTCAGTGAAACAAAGACTCAGGTAGACTCAGCGAATCTCAGCATGGCTAGAGTACCCAAAATTGGCAAACACTCTGGCCTTGAGGTAGTGACAGTCCACTGCTTAAATACTCCTCCAGATAATGGTCCCACATCTGCAGGTGGGCAGGGAGGCCCAATGAGGACGGGGCACCACCTGGTGGAGGAGAAAAGGAAGCACAAAAACAACGCACAAAAACTGGATTCCGGACATATATATTTCCTTTAATGCAACAGTAAGAGTATAAGGACATGATCTTTAGTTTGTGGCTCAGGCAGAGAAATTACTAGACCTTCTTATCTAGTTATTTCAGCTATGGATAATGGATGGATGGATGGATGGATGGATGGATGGATGGATGGATGGATGGATGGATGGATGGATGGATGGATGGATGGATGGATGGATGGATGGATGGATGGATGATAATTGTTGATAACGTTCTGGTATGGCTGGTCCTGCCAGTACCTTCTTGTTTTTATTTTTTATATTAAGAAAAGCTCTTTTATTTCTAAAATTATTGAATATTATGCATTCTTAGGATGAATAAGAAGAGGAAGGATTAGTTTTGCACTTTTGTGTTAAGGTTTCCCAGTTAGGACGAAAGCATTTTTAATATTTTAGTTATTCTAGGTTTAGGTTCTTTCTTTTTGACTGTAGTAAAGGACCTGATTTGTTTTTTTACATCATAATGCAAATCCACGTCACTAAAGATGCTCAGAGTAAACCTTCACTTTGAGCTTCCCTGTTCGAAGTGCACAGAGTAATTCAGGTGATGAATAAGGTGGGCTGATGGTTCTAGTCTGAACAGACATTCTGGACTTCTCTAGATACATTTACAGTGCTGCTCTGCTGCACTTAGTAGCCCTGTTGCTTTTCTGCATCTGAAAAAAACAAACAAAAAAAATATTTTTTCTTTCTCCTTTAAGTCGTCATCATGTTGGATGCAGTGGGCAGCAATCGAGTCTGTAAACTATACCTTGGAGTTAGCCAAAACCCATGTGGTGACATTCAGTGTTTCTGCAGTTTGCAAGATTAATGCTATTAGTTAGATGAAAAATGACAAATTTTATTACATTTTAAAATCTGCAAGTTATGTGAATCGCATTGATGTGATTTACTTTTTTGGAGGTAGGGTGTCGGGGCGTTACTTTTAATGGAAAAGATTTTTCGGGGGATCATAACCCTACTAACCCTAGCCTTGTAAATAACACTTTTGACGGTACCTACCTGATCTGACAGCGGGTTCAGCCTGAGGATGTGTTTCCTCTCTCCAACAGTCTGACTATCCTTACAATGAGAGTGTTCCAAATATTAAAATTCCCATGGACATCATGGAGAAGGAGCCCTTTTTAGGTGATAAGACCTCTGACAGTGAGTAAAACCCAACCGCCGGGAAACTGGAGGGAAAAATAAGTCTTCCCTCTCTTGACTTATCTTATCTCTGCTCTGCTTTCTCACTGGATGTTTCTAATGGTGTCCTGTTGGGTTTTTGCTTTTCACTCTTCTCTCTCACTGTGTCGACATGCTATTAATGCTTTTATTTAATGCAGTTGCAATGTCTCTAAATAATGCATGAAACCTGCTCGCTGCTTGGGGTTTTGGTGTGTCTAAATCTTTTTTTAAGCTTCAATTTAATTTCTTGCTTGACCTAACACTTCACATGTTTGTTATTTAAATACTGTTAGTTTTTTTATCTCTTAAAAAAGCATTTGCAATCAACTCTTCAGTTCACTGTGCTTTTATTCCAAGCAATGAGACTTTCTTTATTCGTTATGTCCAACCCAATTCAGCTTTATTTATACAGACCTTTAAAAATCAGCACAGGACCAGAGTGCATTACAGTTAGAATAAGTTAAATATAAACCAAGAAAAATGTAAATATTACATATTTGGTAAAATATATTAACATTTATATTATGTATATAAATATAAATTAAAACACACATTAAAATATACAGAGATAAAGACCACATATTAAAATGATATAAGAACAAAATCTGGGATAATTAAATAAAATGAGTTAGAAAAGAAGTAAAAGCCAATGTCTTACAGGGTGTCACACACCAGGGTGAAAAACTGGACTTTCAGGAGGGATTTAAAAATAGACAGAGAAGATGCCTGTTCAATTTCTAAGGGCAGATCATTAACAGTTTGGAAGCGGCTGCAGCAAAAACATGTTCTCCTCTAAATGTATGCTCAGTCTGTAGAAATGCTGAGGTGAAGCTGATCAGCTGACCTTAGAGAACAGATATCTGTATCAGTTTGGGACTGCTCACAGCGAAGGATGAGGCTGTTGATCCATTTTTCTCTCAACTGACCAAGAAACTATTAAATGTATTCAGCTCATCCATTTGGGAAGCTGTATATTTTATTCAAACTTGAAGGAGTTTTAGAGCACACACTCAACTGCCTTTGTTGTTACCCTAAGTCCCACTTGATGTTACATCAATGTGGTCAGTCATCATCCAGTTGATTAGCTTAAACACATTGGATTTTTGTGTTATTTTTCTGCACACCTGGGCTAGACTTTTTTTCATTCCTATTTTTCCTCATTTTGAATAGATTAAATATGATAGCGTTAATTATATAATTACTTTATAAAGGCAATACTTTCATTAGGATTTGTGTAAGGCTTACATTAAAGTTCTTGCCTGACCTTTATAAAACTCTCAGCTTAGCTACTGGACATTTTTTGACTATATTTTACCTCTTACTGCATAAATGTACTCTTCTCTTTCCTTCATAAATTATCTTTTTCCTGAGGTTACAGGCTGAGAGGCAAGGTACTCAAACACAGGAAAAACAACCAACACATAAACTGACTGCTTAGAGCACTTTAAAGCGACCAGTCAACCTAACAAGTTTTCTTATACATTGGAAGACCTTATGTCCCACCTCACACCCTGAAAGTATTTACAACTAAAAATATAAATCTGGAGTCTTAACCTATGAGGCTATATGTTTGTTTTTTAGCCTGTATTTATGTTTTTGCTCCTATATGGATAAAAAAAAACACAATAAGTTTATACGCTAAACACTCATTGATTGATAATAAAAGACTTGAAGAATTATTAGTAAAACTACTTTTTATTCTTTATTTCATAACCACATTAGAAATGTTTTCTTTTCATATTCCAAAGTTGAGAACTTATTTAGATTTTATAGGTGTTTAGATCTGGGTATTTGAAAGATAGGGGATCTAAAGTTCCACACCTTTTTTGACACATAAAATAACTTTTTAACTTTTTCTAACAGCCTCTGCTGTGAAGTGAGGGAATGGGTCTGATGTTAACTTGATTTAATTATCTGGGTTTTTAAAGTGGCTTAGAACAGAAATAAATGGGAGGAATATCCATAGTAAACTGAGAAAGATCTTAAGGCTCATTAGCATTAAAGTATCATGAAATAGAAGATGACTTGAGACTTATAGACATGATTGCATCTTAATGTATTTACCTGAATTAAAACAGAATAAGTGACTTAAATGGTTAATTTAAAACTCTAACCATAAATCAACATTTCTGCAAAACTAAACAACAGTTTTTAAGGAAACCATTTGTTAAACTTTGACACAAATCAGCAGGATATGAATCTTATAAAGATTTAAGGCTTTTTCTGTAACCCACCCATCAAATATGTGCAATGCACGCAGTGGTAACTCAGTTAGCAACTAACTTCCCTGTCCCCTCTCTCCTCTGGGCTCTAAGTGTTTATTGTTGTTGCATGTTTGCTTTGGAATAAAAACCTGCACAGTCCTTCACTCTTCCAGCTGAACTAATGAGCTCTCCGCATTAAGTAACTTCCTGCTCAGAACGGGTATTTCCCCCCCCCCCCAGGAGAGAAGTCCCTGTCATTCCTTGATCGACACACATCGTGCTGAGAAGCTTCGCTTCTACCAGGACAGCTACTTATCCAGGTGAGAAAGAAATAAGAGGAAGCCAACAGAGAATAGAAGAGATAAGCTGGTGGAGAGAAAACAGAAAACATGAAAAACTCAGCTGCAGCGTTCTCATCTTTTGACTTAGCAGTGATGCTTGTAAAAGGTCATCAGGCGGCTTTGGCATAACATTGGTCTGATCTTTAAAGGTCGGATCAGCTAAATAAGGCTAAATAACGCCATGCCTGTGATTCTGTCTGCAGACGTCATCAATTAACTACTCTCTAAAAAGAAAAGCTGCTCCAACTTACTGTAAATTAATTGCTTCAAATGGTGACAAGTAATTGAATCACGTTGATCCAACTTAATTAATTAAATTTATAAGTAAAATAAATTACATTGGGAAAACTAAATCCAATTAATTCTTACTTATTGAAGCAATAAATTCTGAGCTGCATTTTCTTTTCAGAGTGTAGCACAGTTAACTCCAGTCTATACATATTTAGGGCTTTTAAGGGCTAGGTAGTAAAATAAAATAGAGCAAATTGAAAAATTAAACAAAATTTTATCAACCAAAAAGTATGTTTTTCTTATATGTTTGAGTTCACCTTAAGCTTTGACACTTATCCAAACCAAGCAGAGGAACAGACTAGATGTAGAGAACAGCCTGGGATCAGCTGTTTTTCACACTGAGCTATAGGAGCTCATCAAAACCGCTACAGTGTCTTGATGAAAACAAGTAAAACTAATCTGACTATAACTGTTGTTCTGTATTTTTTTCCCAGTTCTTCAAGTTTAAATGTGATTATAATGGAGGTATTCCATTTTTTATTTATTCTGATTCCTTTCTAACTTCTTAATGTTTTTTTTTATTTCAGATGGAAAGAATACAATGATAAGAATTAAATGCACAAATTAAAAGATTACGTAAAATAACTTTTATTTTATAATCAGTTATTGTACGATTCCACATTTGGACAATCTTGAGAGGAGTACTCATGATAAGACAAAATTCACAAAGGCATACATAAGTCAAAAAAGGTTGGGAAACACTGATGCAGATGCTGAAAAGTCAACAGATAATCACAGTCATTACTATTAAAATTTAGTTTGACAGTGCTGGAACTGTCGTGTGTTTTTTTTTCAAATTTATTTAAATTTAGATCATCTTATCAAAAGCTTAAAGATGAGCTCAATTAAAATATGTTTTGTCATGTTAAATCCTAGGGTTAGGGTTATCCTAGAATGAAAAAAAAGTATATATTATTATAGTATTATTATATATTATATATATATTACTCCATAGTTTTAATATTTCTGTATTGCAGCCCTGAGACGACCCCGCTGAAGACAGTGCCTCAGATTAGGATAGAAATGGACCCTGAAGATGAAGACACCTATTACTGGAGAGGTCGGGGCTCAGAGACGTGTCTCTAGAGGATCAACCTAATGCTTCCTGTCTTATACCCACTTTATATGAATCTTCACTTTTGTTTCCTACATGATTTGAAGACTGTTGTTTTAAATCACTAGAACTGAAAAAGGGATATTTGAAAAATAAGGACTTTAACCTCTTCCATCTTCACCATCATGTTGGTATCTTTCTCACAGGTCACAGTCTCACTGGTTGATTACATGTAACTTCTTACTACTGATCTATGCAACTCCTTCCACATGCCCCTCCTCACAGTAACATGTTGCAGCGCTCTCACTAAACATGGAGTGCCATCCCATCTCTTTCACTTTTTCATGTCATCTCTTTATATATATATATATACACATTCAGATTTATTTTATATGTACCGGACTACTATAATACTTTCCTGTTGCAGGGAAATTATGTTTTTATAGCTCTACCTCTTGACTTAGTTTCAGATCATATGAACTACTGGAATTTTGATAATTTTTTTCTCTGTCCTTTCATAGAGTTGTAATAATTAAAATGAATCTGCTGTATCATAGGAAGTAGAGATGTAAGATAATTAACTATAAATTAACAAAGCACATTCAGGTGCAGGTGTGTATTTTATTTAACTGATGCAGAACAGATTGCTTCAATTTGTTTCTAATCTTTTCAAAATCTTTCACAATGTTTTGATTATATTTTGTTTTTAATTTGATATCTTTATTGATTTTTAAAAATGATAATGTTGTGTACATGTAGTACATATTTACGTGTTTTCTTTATTATTATATGCATAGAAGATCAACATAATCATCCAACCTTCCTCTGCCAAGCATTAATTCTAACTGGGAATGCATATCATATAAAGAAATGATTGTGCTGCATAAACTCTTTTACCTAAGTGGCCTATAAGGGATTGATTTGGACTGAAATAGTGATGGAAAGATTGATGATGTGGAAAATAATACTATCACAGCCTATTATCGCAGCAGAACTTGGTGTATTTTCTCAGCTGTCCTCTGAATTATGGGTGGTGAATTATTTTTCTGCATTTGCAAATATTTTAGGTTATCAAAATACACTGAAAAAATGCATCAGATTTCATCTCTGTCTCAGATATTTTGCTGCATTTTGGTTCCTCTGTGGATGTAAAGTTCATTCAAACCCATATTTTAAACCCCAGCACAGCTCTCTAGATTTTTCAGAGGTGGAACTTGTTTTGAAGAGAAATGTACAGACTTTTGAAATGTACAATGGTTAAAAAAACGAGAAAGTACGCCTCCAGGGTTTTATATATCAGGACAAAAGAACTGGTATTATTGAAAAGGGGTATCAAATATACAAAAACACACAACACATACCTCCATGTTTGTAATTAAAATAGGAGAAAACTCATAAAGCCAAAATAATATTATGTTATTATATTTAAAAATACTAAGTACACCCCATGCATGATTTTACACACAAAAAACTTTTCAGAGTTGTCGAGCTTCAGCATGTTCAACAAAATGTTCAGATCCTATTGCTTTTTAATATGAGCCCAAATCATCCCCTCCCAAAAAATGTTTTCCCATATGTCTCAAAAATGATGAGGCTCCAGACGTCTTGTTGGTCATTTAAATATATCTTTGGAAATCTAAGTTCCTCCATTCTTTTAGTGTCTAGTACGTAGCAAGAAGATGTATTTCCAAGTTGTGTCTTATTATATATTTTTAGACAAAAAAAATGTTCTCTTGGCAGTTCTTCTAAAACATGCATACGTGTTCTTCCCATTTCTGAAAAACAAATACGTTAGAGTGAGTAAATCTGCTGGGACATGATAGAGGCTTTGATAGAGCTCTGATGGTAATCTGCTATTCCAGTGGATCTAATTGAAGGAACCTTTACTTCATATAGTTTGGATGCAGCAAAGGTGCATTTTATTTTGCCGAAGAATTTTCTCCCTTTTAAATGTGTCCATTAGGACCTTTTGTGTTGATAAATAAAAACCATGGAATTGAAACCTTTTTCCGTATGGCAGCAAACAGATCTGAGCATTAGAAATAATTTAAATACTCGTCTTTGTTTTTTAGCCATTGTGTATAATTGCCATATCTGTGCTAAAAAGTTCCCAAAGTTAAAGAATAAGGTTGTTTGGATCAAAGTATTTAAGGAGAAATATGCTATTAATGGTGCATTTCCCATCGACATGGCTTTACTTTGGGGCAAAAAATAAAAAATACATAGAACCGTACATTTAGGGCCGGATTTATCAAAGGTTTGCGTGTAATAAAACGTGAGCTATTTCACTGCGCACGCTAAAAAATGTACAAACTGATCTATCAACAGCGTGCTAAAAGCATTTGATCTTTAAAACGTGCTAAATAGCGCCTGTGATCCATTTAGTACTTTTTCTGCAATGAATATGCAATATGGGGCGTTTACACGCTAAAGTGCGTCTTGTGGGAGGAGACATGTAAATATATTAATTTAGCACTCGCAAAGTGATTTATCAAACTTGAACGCAATTTTGCTAACGGTATCTGACTCTATATTTAACACGTTTCAAAAGAAGGTGCAAATGGTCTGTATGCGTAATTGCGCACACATGGCAGCGGTTATTGTCGCAAGAAGGAGACATGGAAATGAAGCAAGGAGGCGCAGAGAACGCATTTTTTCACTCCGTGTGAATATTTTTGCAATGAACGAGGAAACGATCATCAAAACATATCGTTTATCCAGCATTGCCATTTTGGAGCTGTTGGGGGAACTCCGAATGGATTTGGAGCCAGCCACAAGGAGGACCCACGCAATAACAGATATCACAAAACTCCTTGCAACATTGCACTTTTTTGCATCTGGGATCTCCCAATCTCGTTTTTCAGAAGTGCTGTCCGACGTTCTAAATGCCATGTCGCCCTGACGCCCTACCGGAGAACCCCGACACCCTGCGCCTGTGGAGCAACATGCCAATGCAGTCATCTTATCCACAGTCACTTCTTGTGAGCCATTTGGTATGTGCATTTTTCTACAGGCCGATAAAAAACACCTGTTTTATTTTTGTTTGTGTGTTTTTTTCTTACTGCGGTGAAGTAGAAATTCAGCCACATACCACCTTAGGGAATAAAGGTTGCCAAAGTTTATATATATATATATATATATATATATATATATATATATATATATATATATATATATATATATATATATATATATATATATATATATATATATATATATATATATATATATATATATATATTTCTTTTTTTGGAGGGGGTGGTGTCACTGTAAGATTAAAATTTCTTAATGCACTAGTTTGCACAAACTACAAACTACTTTGCCGCAATCCACAAAACGCGCAAAACCATCATTTAAATAGGGCGTCTCCAACAGTTTTGCGCCTGCCACCAGTTACGCAATCGCTCTTGTTAAATCACCCGCAAACCATGGTTCAGCCCCTCGCGCAAAATTCCACTTTGCGAGCGCAAATTACTGCACGCAAAATTGGATCTTGATAAATCCGGCCCTTAGTTGTTTAAACCCAATTGATGACATGCAACGAGTCTCATAATTTAATTATTTTTCTTCCATTTTAAAGATAATGAGTCATTTTTGTTCAGTAAGTGCAGAGTCATTGCCATACTCAGAGTCATATTAATGGGAATTGCTGCAGGCTGATATAAACCAGGGTTATCCTTTAACTAGATTACAACTTAACAAAAGTAAAGAAAGTTCTCCTTATATGCTTTTAGCCACCAACACACTTGCATGGGTTACAGAGTCACCTTGTCACAGCATATATTGAAATCTTCTACACTTTTCATAATTTTTTTTTAACTTGCAAGAGTACAAAAATGGGACTAAATGGAGAATTCCTGTGGGGAGTTTTTTGCTAAAACTATGTCACAGTCTGTAGGCATCTGTCCTAGGAACCTTCAACTTGATCTAAGAGAAATGAATACTGATGCTTTATTTTTGAATTAACTTATGAGTCTTTCTAGAACAGCTGAGATGTTTTATTGTAGAATTTATATTTTTCAAATGAAATGTATATTGAAAATAAACAGTTATCAAATACTGATGGTTTGCACTTGATTTTTCCATATTATATATAAACTGGTCAAAGGACTAGATGCATCTTTGCTTTTCCTTTGGTTTTAGAACTCCCTTAATAATTTTCTGCAGAAATTTACCAAAGTGTAATTTGGTATATTTTGAAGATATTTATTTCCATATTAGCACAATGGTATCCCACAGTTGCTGTAAATTTTTCACCTGCACATCAATGATCCGCAAACTCCTGTTCCACCTCATACCAAAGTAGTTTTTATAGATTAAGATCTGGTGAGTGAGAAGGCGATGGGCACTGTGGAACTGCATCCTCATTGTTTGAATGATACTGAGCTACAGTACATGACATCATTAATTAGGGAGTTCCAACATACATCCATCCATCCATCCATCCATTTTCTTTACACGCTTGTCCCAAGTGGGGTCAAGAGGGGTGCTGGTGCCTATCTCCAGCAGTCAGTTCCAACATACAATCCATTTTTATTGCAAAATCTCTTTATGTATGTTTGTGAAACATCCTCTTGCTCTCAAACATATTTATGATATATATGCTGGGAATGTGGATTTCAGTCCCCATTTGCCTTATCTAGAACCACAACTGAATATAATTTCTTTGCAACACCAGTGTCAGGTTTGGTGAATGGTTGTAGAGAAACCTTGTAGGCTGGTGGCAACAGAAGAATAATCCAGACTGAACAAGCAGGGTACTTAGAAACCAAAACGAGGAGACATTTAGGAGGAGAATACATACAAAATGAAGAGAATTCAGCAAAGGAGGTGTATTGGAGAAAACAATATATGGAATAATCAGTTGATAGGGAGCAGAGGTGGTGAGGAGCAAATACAAAGGAGCTAAGGGGAAAGAAAAGGGATGCTACCAGGCAGTGTAACGAGGCAAAACAGGGTCTAACTGTAACTAGGAAAGAACTTAAAGGTATAGTGGAGGGTGTTCTTTTTCCAGGTGGATCATCTAAATAAGTGGTCCTCCTAATTGTCAATCATTCTGCTGATATGTTTACGTAAGGCCGTCCTACATGCTCGTCCATTTTCACTTACAGATGGTGAGTCTGGCATAGTAGAAAAAATTGCAAATCTTTTGGAAAGTAGGCTTGTATGAGAGATGCAAACAGCAACTTTTAAACAGTGTGCAAAAGGAGAAATGGTAGTAACAAGTAACCATATCTGGTCTCAGAATAATGAAGAAATTTGCTTTGTTTTACTTTATCTTTTAAAATAATTTTATTTTTGGTTAAGCAATAAAAAGAAAATTAAACTTAACATTTTTAAATAACATCCTTTTATTTTTAAAGCTAAAAATAACATGCTTCCTACTTTTATTCAACTTTTGTTATTAAGATAAATACAACTTGGCATTCGGCATACACTGTTTATGATTCTGCTGACCTCTGACAACAACATGAGACTTTTGTCCTTAGAATTGCCCCTCACTGGATATTCTCTCCTTTGAGCCATTCTCTATAAACCAGGGGAATGTCTAAAGGCCTCATTTATCAGCAGTCCCTGTAGCACTCAGGTCGGCGTATTACATTAACAAGAATTCAACATTCATACTTTCTTAAATTAATTTTCATTCTGAGGCTTTGAACCCCAGCATCTCATACTCCCTATGTCCAGTTGCTGCTGTTTGATTGGCCGAATTACTCAGTTGTATAAACAATCATTTACACAAGACTTCCTAAAGTCATATATAATGTTAGGCAAGATAAAATGTAAAGTTTAATCTGAATTATAACGTGTCTGAACTCCAGAATGTGAGAGTCACTAAAAATCTAAAATATAAATACAAATCAAAACAAAACAGGGGAGGTGGTTTGATTGAGTTTTTTTCCACATATATCCTAGAGAGAGAAACATAGAAATATCACATGATGCCGTATACTAAGAGACTGACAATGTTAAGATTTAACCTAGATTGTAATAAGATCATTTAAATGTTATTTATACTGAAGCAGATGCTTTCATTATTTATTAAAAGGCTCCATCTAGTGTCTGATTCATGTTACTACATAATGAGGAGAAGGGGCTCTTAAACTGAGCTGTAAAGTAATACATGCATGCAAATATTATAGTATATGTTTCTATAAGACTGTTATTGACAGTTTTCTCCTAGATTTATACAGTTTCCTTGAGTGTTGTCC